AAGAATTTTGGAAGGAGAGTAGAATCAGTGTGGAATCACCCACATTGCAAATTACAGATGCTTTAGGGTTAAATACAAAAAAAGAAAGAATTAAAGACAAAATGAGAAAAGAAAATGAGAAATTAATGTCAGGTTTCTGGCAAATTTTAAAACTTTTCAACTTAAATGCCATTTCTATTAAATAAACTGAAAAAGGGTGGTGGGATCTGGGGAGAATACTGATCACCAGTGGCTGACTTATTCACTACTTACGTTACTGAAGAGCATATCTAAACATATCACCGAGAAACTGAGTTACTCCACTTATATGAACATTATAGTACCACAGATTTAAACAAGGTGTCATTTTGTACCTGCTAATTTGGCAAAAATATTTTAAAATGTATCAGTGCTGGTGGGGTTATAGTGAAATCAGTATTATTTCTATATTGCTGATACTGGATTACATAGCAGTCAGCCTTTTGGGTAACAGTTGTTATTAACATTGATGTCAACATCAAAATGTTTGTGGAGTTTGAGTAGTCCTACTCCTGGAGATTTATCTTAATTAAACTGGGAAATATTATATATTATTTGGATGAAATATTCTTTGTAGTATGAGTAACTTCCAGGCCTAGATACTTTCAGAATCACCTGGGGATGCTTCTTGAAACTGCATTCCTAGAAACTTTTACTCAGTAGATCTGGAATGAGTCTTAATTTGTATGTTTGCAAACATGCTATATTATTCTGATTACAGTTATTTGTGTACCCTATAATGAGCAGCATACTCTAAATGTCCAATTAATAGTGGCTTAGCAAATTATACTATTTTTTCTTAGTGAAGAATATCACACAGCTTGTAAAAAGGTTTTTTATTTTAAAATATGTTTTTATTGATTGTTAGGGAGAGAGAGAAACATCAATAAGAAAAACATTGCCCTGGCCGGTTTGGCTCAGCGGTTAGAGCGTCGGCCTGCGGTCCGGAGAGACCCGGGTTCGGTTTCCGCTAAGGGCACGTACTTCGGTTGCAGTTTGTCCCCGGCCCTGGTTGGTCGTTTGGGTGGCAGCCACTCGATGTGTCCCTTCACGTCGATGTTTCTCTCTCTCTCTCCCTCCCACTCTATCTGTAAAAAAAAAAAAAAAAAAAAAAAAGGAAAAATATCATCGGGGGAGGATAAAAACAAAAAACAAAACAAAAAAACAAAACAAAAAAAACATTGATCAGCTGCCTCCTGCACGTCCCGTAGTGTGGATTGAGCCTGCAACCCTGGCATGTGCCCTGACCAGGAATCGAACCTGTGACCTCTTAGTGCATGAGTTGACACTCAGCCACTGAGCTATACCAGTGGGGTGAAAGTTTTTTTGTTTTAAAATCAGAGGGAAATGAACAAATTTTATCTCTATTAATTATAACTAGGCAATTTAGACATTGGATAGAGGGACTGGAAGTAAACAGAAAAGTGAAAGCAACTAATTTTATTGGGCTATCAGAATTAATAAGGGATTTCCTTTTTTTAGTCCTACGTACATTGCTAGGTTTGTATAATTTCTTTCAAAGTAAATATGGAATTGTTTTGATTTTTTTTCAGGCATGTTACTACCAGATCCAGCGTGAGAAGCTTAACTAGGCTGCATAACAACTTGACAACTGGATTATCTATTCAGAGTGTTACAGCACCATCTGGCATCTTCCTATAGTGGCAAAAAAGAATGGTCTTGAAATTAGGATGTTGTGTTATTTTGGTTGTTATTTCTGAGCCTTATTAATGACCAGAGCCGTGAGCCCAGAAGAAAAGATGGTACAGTTTAAAAGGAGGATTGAAAAGGAGATAGAAATCCAATTCGACCAGTCCCTGGTCTATTAAGTTCCCAAAATATCATACACCTGCTGTTTGGAAAAAGAAAATATCCCTTCATCCAGTAAAGGGTATGCCAGCTACATGACATAAGAAGAGTTCTCAGTATAGCTTCTTACATTAAAGAAGTTGATGGATATTTTTGAGTCTGGTTTGCCTGCAGTTACCCCAGACCCCGTTGCAAGGAGCAGATTGTTCTTGAAACTGGTAACTACTCCATGCCTTCCTGGATTCCTTGCAATCATGTGTGCATCCTGCTGCTTTGCTGAGAGAGGGGAAAGAGGAACTTTTAAACTGCAGTTTTAACTTTTTCTAAGCTTTTCCACCAGGGTATTCATCATGGGAGATGAATATAATGACCAACAAATTGCAATCCCAAATAAGTAACACATCCAAATAGGAGTATTCTGCCTCCTGAGTAAAAGAACATAGGAATTTTATTCTTGATTTCCTTATAGTGCCAGAGAAAATACACTGGAATTCAAACACTGACTCTGAGCTACTGTGGATCCTCGTTTGTCCATGTGCAAGCGCTGCGCCCGAGGCCTGTGATGAGAGCCTGAAGAGCTTCTGCATGCAGGCCGTGTTTTGGAGCAGGACAAAAGAGTAGGAGATAGGGAAGCGAAGAACTGCATCCATCCTTGACCCAATGTGGTTCTTCCCTGCACCTCGCAGTGAACTCACAGAGGGGAAGAAAGAGGAAACAAGCTTTGGCTTTTCCCATCTCAAAAGTATTGTGACACTTCAACGTTTTAGTGTTTTGCTTTTTTTTTTAAATGTCATAAATGGTTGGTTTATACTGTACAAGTAACACTAGTAGCTGTTTTGAATAACATAGGTGCTCTTCCTCATCTCATCTGCGCACAGGGTGAGCAAATGGAGTATCCTCCTGATTTATGTTAAACATCAGCAGATGTTAATCAACTTTGAAAAAGGATCATGGTTTCTGCTGTACTTTATAATCAAGACAAGTGTTTATTAAAATATTGTTTTGGAATGTTGGCTGTAATATAACAGCAATTTTCATAATAAAAGACATTCATCTTTATGAGGTGGTTTTGATTGCAGAAAGAACCTAAAAATTTAAAAGAAATCCAGGCTTAGTACTTTTTTGCTCACATTGTAATCTGTGCCTCTTTGTATTGGCCTCAGAGGTTGCTGTGGGGTTTTAGACATCTCTCTCTTTACAATAACATAAACTTGTAACACCTTTGGTGGCAAAGGACAAATTAAACTTCTGAGCCTATTAACCCGAGGACAAGGGTCTTAAAAGAAGTCTGTTGTTTCTTTTAATAAAAGGCATATTTTGATAGTTATTGGGGGTTTTTTGTTTATTTGTTTAGTTTTGTTTCTCTCTTAAACAGATTTAGGGAAGGGAAGAGTGAGGATTTAAAATTCTGGTTAGAAATGTTAGGCCTTAGTTAATCACCTCCCTGTTGTAATGTGTTCTCAAGAAGCCTGTCTCGCCAGTGCTTTCTACCAGAATGTGCCTGCTCATTGTTGGGGAGAGACCGTCGCTTAAAGATTCCTTTATGTTCAACACTTGACATTTCCATTAGGGAATGTTTTGACTTTTAAATAAACATCAAATTCCACATTTGACTTGTAGAGGCAAATGTACCGAATGCCTTTGACCCCTTAAGAGAGAGAGAGACAGAGAGAGAGAGAGAGAGAGAGAGAGAGAGACCGGGATAATTGTGGAAATGGACATAGAAAAACTTGAGACCCACAGAGAAATTCTCAAATGCCAGCAGGCCATCTCGGTTCTTCAAAAACAAACAAATGAAACATGTTACAATTCATGCTTTTATTTGGTTCATGAATGAAACTGCCCAGTTACATGAGATTCTTTGTGCAATATTTATACTTTCAAAGAGTATATTAAAATGATAAAATTTAGCCCTGGCCAGTTTGGCTCAGCGGTTAGAGCGTCGGCCTGCGGTCCGGAGAGACCCGGGTTCAGTTCCCGCTAAGGGCACGTACTTCGGTTGCAGTTTGTCCCCGGCCCTGGTTGGTCGTGCGGGTGGCAGCCATTCGATGTGTCCCTTCACGTCGATGTTTCTCTCTCTCTCTCCCTTCCTCTCTCTCCCTCCCATTCTATCTGTACAAAAAAAAATTATAAAATTTAGTTGTGTTAGGGGGAAAAGCCCTAAATCTCCAGGCCAGTCTAAATAGAAATGCCTCACACCCATGCAGCAATTTGCAAAGGTCCCTCACACGGGATGAATGCCCGGCAGCCTGTGATGCAGGTGTTCACCCCGCTGGTCCCTGTTTGGCCGACAAGGAGTGGCTGTGATCTGCTCACAGTTAGAGCTGGGACTCGAACCCACAACTTCCCAGTACTCTTTTCTACTACAGAGGCCAGAGGTGTCATTTTATGTGGGTCATACATTGAAAGTTTAAAAGTAAAAAGTAGGTTTAAAAATTTTAAAAAACTTCTAATAAAATTAAGTGCTTTCGATAAAATATGCTGTGCTCAAAACATTCACAAATGGATCCCTTTCCCAGCTCGGATTTTCATGTACAGTGGAGAGCAGGGGAAAGCCATGTGTTTAATTTAGGATAAAAGGGCTGATAACCCTCTTCTGATTGCTATTTAGTCTTTATCCCTTGCGTTGCTGTCAGCAGTACCCTTTCCCTTGTTCTTTCTGTGATACCTGCTTTGAAGTGCTGACCCCCTTCCCTGCAATATACAATTTTCAAATGAAGAAGTAGCTTCAGTCGCAGATGGAGAATGGGCTGGCAGTTAAGCTCAGAATAGTGGCTCGGTAGGGAACCTTCCAGAAGAAACTGTTTGGTCCAGGCCTCATTACTAATGGCTGGAGAGCCTGCCATTACTCTCACCATGACATGAGGACATTGGCAAGGCTAATAGGCTGACTCCCAGGTATCACCACAACTTCCTTTCATTAAAATAAAAACGCCATCTTCTGTTGCAGGGTGTCTGTTAGCCTGAAATACTCAACACAAGCATTAATTAAATATCTATGTGCTGGCAATTCATGAGGGGAATGCTAAAGTGAAGGTTGAAAATGGTAGAACTTACTAGATCCTTCAGTGCAAGGAATGCTTAAGATTTGTGACGGGAGGCTTGTAAGTAATTGCATGGTTAAGCTTCTGTGGATTAACTCAAAAGAGGATGTGCAGAGCTTTTATCTAGAACAGTGAGGTGACTGGTAGCTAATAGCCACTAGTATTTCCCCCCAATGCTTTTCTCTGGATAGGAGCAACATTACGTGTTTGCAGTCCTGCAGGTAAGAGACCTTGCCAATTGGTCCTCAAGGACCAGATATCTGTGACTGCCCTTCTGTCATATTAGCTAAAGATACATTTTGGGCAATCTGATGTAAGTGGTTTAGTTTCATTGTAATCCAAATTACATGGGGAATTTTATGGTTTTGAAAGGGGTTTTGCTCTCTGAAGCCATTTTTAAAGTATAGAATAATGAGCCCTGGCTGGGTTGACTCAGCAGTTAGAACGTCAGCCTGTGGACCAGAGAGTCCTGAGTTTGATTCCCACTAAGGGCACGTACCTCGGTTGCAGTTTATACCCGGCCCCAGTTGGGGTCGTGTGGGTGGCAACCACTGGATGTGTCTCTCTCACATGGATGTTTCTCTCTCTTTCCCCCTCTCTCCCTTCCACTCTATCTGAAGATAAATGCAAAAATGTCCTCAGGTGAGGATAAAAAATAAAGTATAGAATAATGAATTGTCATAGAGATAAAATCAAATTGATCACTTTTCCTAGTCCTAATCAGCATTGTAACCCAGGGAAAACCAGCCATTTTTATACAGGCCGTTTCTCACTGAGTTTTCAAGGCCTTCTCAGGCTTTGTCTAATAGCATCATTTTGAAAAAAAGACCATAATGCCCTGGCCGGTTTGGCTCAGCGTTTGGAGCATCGGCCTGCGGACCAGAGAGTCCCGGGTTCAGTACCCACTAGGGGCATGTACCAAAAAAAAAAAAAAAAGGAACATAATAGGAGTTGACGGTGTGGCATTTAATAGTAGTCACTACATTTTTAAAAGTTCATGGAAATACTGGTTTTTAAAGGAATGTTTATGACAAACTCCTCAGGAGTCAGTAACTGATGCAGCTTCTAAGTTAACGACAGAACTGGCTGCCCTTCCTGTGCTGCTCAATTAGTCCAGAATTGCATGTGGTGGGATATTTAACTTAACAGTCTCAATCAAGAATTCTCCTTCCCAAGTCAGCAGAAGTAGGCAAGTCTCAGCTGACAAAACTGGTGTGGAAGTCATGAGAAGGAGGTGTCCCAACAGCCTGCTGCCAGGCACTAGTGTCTTTCAGGACTAATGATGGACACAAAAGGGAAAAACTTGATTGTACCGGTTGATAACTACTAACACCTCTTTTGCATGTCCAGTTCCTTATCTGTAAAACGAAGGTCGCCTTGATTGTCGCTAAGGTCTCCCTCAGCCCCGATTGTGAATGTGATAGGGGAGAAGGTGGAAGTCCGAGTGACCGGCTGAGGGGTGAGGAAGGGCACAGCCTCCAGTCTGGCTGCCTCCCTCCTCAGGATCGTCATCCTTGCTTCTCTGGGAGGGAGGTATCAGTCTTTTACTTCCATTCCGTAGCCTCTCATTTCCTGCTCCTTCCCAGCACAAACTGGAAACACCAAGTGCTTGCTCTGACCCAGGCACAGGTGTAGCTGCTGGGGCTACAGCAGTGAACGGGACAAACCGGGTGTCCGCTCCCTGACCTCCACAGATATGACCCACACGGGAGCCAGCACTAAATGAGTGAATGTGTGAAAGACTTGTGAAGCATGGTAAGTGCTCTGAGGATAATAAATCACTAGTTTTCTTAGCCACCTGGAGAGAGGGAGGGAAAATTATTTCCTGGGCTTTTCTATGAATGTTTGTCTTAGCTTGGCTGCTATAACAAAGTACCAGGGACTGGGCAGCTTAAACAACAGAAATGTATTTTCTCATGGTTTTGGAGGCTGGAAGTCTGAGGTCAGGATACCAGCATGGTCAGGTTCTAGTAGGGGCTCTCTTCCTGGCTTGAAGACCACCTCCTTCTTTCTGTGTCCTCAAATGGCAGAGAGAGAGAGAGAGAGAGAGAGCGAGCGCACTCGGTGTCTCTTCTTCTAAGGGCAGTAATGCCACCATGACAGCCCCACCCTCATAACCTCATCTAAACCTCATTGTCTCCTAAATCCCCATCTCCAAACATCATCACACTGGGCAAAGTCTTCTACATATGAATTCAGGTGCGGAGGACACAATTTCAGTCCATGGCAAATTTGTCACAGAAACCTGTGGATGACCAGGCAAGCAGAGTTTTTAGAATTCATCCTACTTGTGATGAAAATTACTGTTTATGCCTCTGTGGCTGGGAAACTAGTCAGAATAGGCCTTTTAGAATATATGAATTACCTGTGTATCCCTGGAGTTGGTGATAGATTTAGTAGAAGTTATTTTAATAATTAAAATTCACTACAGAAACCAGTCTACTTGTAAAGCTCCCGTTCATCTCAGGAATGTCATCTCTCGAGCCCCCATCGGCTGCGTGGAGCGGCCTCGCCGGCTCATTCACGTGGGTGTTAAACATGGAAGAAGTGGGGTCCACCTAACCACGCACAAACAGCATCCTACTTGTTTCATCTGTACCACCCGCCGAGGATGTCTGATTTTTTTTTTTTTTTTTATCCTCACCCAAGGACATTTTTCAATTTTTTGTTCAGATAGTGGGAAGGAGAGAGAGGAAGAGAGAGAGAGAGAGAGAAACATCGAGAGAGAGAAACATCGAGAGAGAGAAACATCGACGTGAAAGGGACATGTCGAGTGGCTGCCTCCTGCATGACCCCAACCAGGGCCGGGGACAAACTGCAACCGAGGTATGTGCCCTTAGCGGGAACCGAACCCGGGTCTCTCTGAGCCGCAGGCCAACGCTCTAACCGCTGAGCCAAACTGGCCAGGCTGGATGTGTGATTTTTGAGATGCCCTTTGGGTAACAGATTTTAAGAGGTTGCCCAATGAATAGATGCTTGGAGTCCGCCCTCTATGGTTTCTGACTTGGGTCTGTCTGGCAGACCCTCCATCTCCCTGCTCTGTTCCCTACCCTGGAAGTGTTCCTCTAGGGGGAAGATGAATCATACCTGCACCTGCTGTGCTAAACCATCCAACAGAGGCTCGGAAATTGGAACACAGGAAAGGGCAGGATTTAACCTGACTCAGTGGGAGCTGGGCAGGGTAGGGGTGGTGGGCAAGAAAAAGCGTAGGATGCCAGGGTTTGGTGGAAACTGGGAAACTGCGAGCTGTCAGTGACTGGAGGGTGTGCATGGGAAAGTTGTCTGAAATTCCGGAGCAGCTTTCCGTGCTGCTGTTCTCGCTGCCTGGAGTCCAGAGACAAGAGGATCTGATGTCTTTACTAGGCAGCGTTCCTGACTCAACCCCACAGTCTGTCTAGATGTAGACAGTGGCTCTGTTACACCCACGTCAATACCCTACTCTTCAATAACTAATTTGAAAAGCTACTTTTAAAAAATCCACATTAATCCTTTATCATCCTACCGTAACAAAGGCTGCTGGTGCCCTACCCACGTCCCTGTTGTCCTTATGATTTGGGTGGACTCTAGGGCAAACTCCAACTGCCAGCACCTGCACCCACTCTCTGAAAGTCCACATGGAGCCGGCTGGAGGTGCCAGAGGCATGCTGTCTGGGAACAGCCCTCAGCCAATGACGGGCAGCACCAGTGAATAGATACCCCCTCTCCCGTGTACCTTGTTCCTCATGAGATTAAGCTCTAGTTGCTCATAGTAATTACTTGTTTGATAGACCTTTTACTGGCTCTCCCCCCTCCCCCCCACGATGCCTCACAACCCTACTTCTCTACTGGTGTTTCTTGACATCACTTTCCAAATGAATCACTTCCCTAGAATACTTGCCCTGTGTCTGATTCTGAGGGAAACCAAACTAAGACACTTACCTACTCAAAACTTCAACAACAAAAAAATCCATATATATATATATATATATATATATATATATATATATAAAAGGAGAAATTAAGTAAGTGTAGTTGATAAGACATTGCACATTTCAATATGTAAATATGGGATATCACTACATCAAAGATATAATGAAGCGATAGATGTTTGCATCTATAAAAAAAATCCACCAGGGATGCAGCAGCTTTGAATGCAGACACAGAGTGGTATGTGGTAGTAACGCCCCCTAAAAATTACCATTAATGACATGATTTTCTGAAATGATGAACTTGACAGAGCCCAAGCAAAACAAAGTAAAATAATTCCTCAGTTGTGGTAGTTGCATTCCAGAAAGTTCAATGTATATTAAAACTATGCAAAAATACTTTGTATTTATATGTAAAGTTGAGTTCTAGGCTCAGATAGTTACAGAGATTTCCTTCTAGCAACACGAAAGTCCAGTGGGACATTGAAGATTGCACAGGGCATGAGGTGATTCTTTACTGTGTAGGACAACTGGGAAACTTCCTCAAAGAGCAGTGGGCATGTTCTTTGCCCTCATTTCCTCAAGCCCTCTCCCTATCCTGCCAGCTGGAATGTAGACGTGATGGCTGGAGCCGCAGCTTCCATCTCGGAGCAGGAAGTTGAGAAGCACACCACACCCCAGGGTGGTGGAGCAGTAAGTGGAAAGAACCCATTCTCTGAGAACTTCATGAGCAAGTCTGCCCTGACAGCCCTGGATTGTCTCTGTCTCTGTACACATGAGCAAGAGATAAACTTCTACCCTGTTAAGTCACTGTTATTTTGGGTTTCTATTTCTTGAAGTTAAACCTACCTAAAACAGTATAGAAAATAAATTCTAAGAGTATGGTTCAAGAGTAACACACAACTCTTGCAATTGTGATCGATGCCACGAAAAACGATAGGGCACAATGAGAGGGAATGGGGCACCTGAGTCAGCCAGGCCAGGGAAGGCTCTCCTGAGCTCTGAATAATGGTAAAATCAACCAGGCAAAGAAGGGAGAAATAAATAATAGCATCATTTATTCTGTTTTATTATTTTATTTTTTTTCATCCTCACCCGAGGACATTTTTCCATTTTTTGTACAGATAGAGTGGGAGGGAGAAAGAGGAAGAGAGAGAGAGGGAAACATCGATGTGAAAGGGACACATTGAGTGGCTGCCACCCGCATGACCAACCAGGGCCGGGGACAAACTGCAACCGAGGTACATGCCCTTAGCGGGAACCGAACCCGGGTCTCTCCGGACCGCAGGCGGACGCTCCAACCGCTGAGCCAAACCGGCCAGGGCTAGCATCATTTATTAAAAAAAAAAAAAAAAAAAGGAGTAGAGGAAGTGTTTTATGAAACAGTAGTTTTCTCTTTCGCACAGCTGTGATTATTAGAGAGTAAGGACCACAGCGCGAGCATTTTTATTTGATGAGGATCCCAGCGTGTAGCACCGTGCCTGACTTGCCAATAAATGCTGTTGAAAATATATTTCCGTGCGTTAAGAGCTGCATGGCCAGTGTGATTGAGTGAACTGTGTGCTGTCTATTGCTCTACTCCCTAGTACTGAAATCTTTCTGGAAGCTCCGGCCAGGAGGATGATACAGTCAGACAAAGAAGCAGGTCCACTAGACAAGAAGGACACGAGGCATTCTGTGGCATCCAGTCCAGAGAGCGGTATGTGGCTCCAGGATTCTTTTTCTAAAGTAGGAAGGTCTGAAAATGTCACCCTGAATACGTGATCAAATAAACAGGTAGCCCTTCGGATAGATTTACTATGATTCCTGTAAGGAACTTGTACTGTTTTGAGTGTCCTACTACATCTGTCAGATATAAGTCTAAGCAATTTTCAAGGCGGGAAGGGAAGAAATTGACACGATGTTTTACTTAAACTTAGAACTTCATGACCCAAATATCTCTGCAACGAATAGAATTTCTATGAAAACCCTTGTGAAAATATCAGTGTTCACTAAAATCCGTCAGTCCTTTTAATCAGTGGTATCCTGAGATGTGTATTAAAAACTTATTGGGAGTTAGAATTTTTTCAATAACACTTTCAATAACAGCTTCCAGAGAGGATAAAGACAAATGACGTCTATGTTTGAATTAGAGAAGGACGACCCAGAAAATAACTAGATAATCATGGAATAAGCCAAAGGCTGGTGAGATTGGGAGGGAAAAAATGTTGCTCTCCTAGTATCTTACATCTATTACTTCATTAAACATTAGCAACAACCCTATGGAAAGCTAGCATATGGGTTTCAAATAATTGAGTGACTTTCTGAAGCTCACAAGCAAGTGACAGAATAGGGCTCGAAGGCAGGTCTTCTGGCCTTAAATCAGTGTCATCACCGGCTCTCATGAGCCCCTGTGGCACATCCCAGCTGACTTGTCCTTCACCTTTACTCCAGCCTTTCTTTCCACCGCCACCTGTCTGCCACCCAGCTCTGCCCTCTCCCTTTTCTAGATCCCTCCCAGATCCTGAGGCTTGTGCTGCAAGAGCTAAATCTGTTCTACAGGCGAGACATGAAGGGACTGCGTCTCCTGTACGACCTCCTGCACTCCCCGTGGCTGCAGGCGCTGCTGAAGGTGCGTGCAGGGAGCTTGGAGCCACGCCTGTGCTCACGTGGGGGCAGGAACTGCTTACCCAGCAGGGCCACCTGTCAGCTGGCGGAAATGTCAACTTGGAAAAAGTCCTTAGAAGGCAATTCTCAGAGAGAGCTAACAAACCTCTTAGCTTAGGAGGGAATTAACTTCAATGGCGAAGAGTATGACTGCTCTGTTCTTTTCTCTGGAATCACAGAGCAGCCCCCCACAAATGGCCGTTGGCAGCAGCCTAAGTAGCTATCTACAACCCTTTGTCCCTAAGGCCTACTCAGGACAAATCAGAAAGCTTCCAAAGATTATTCCTCTTTGTTTTTAAAATATAGGAATGGAGTACTACAGTTCTGTTTAGGTATCTTAGGTTTCTCCCACTGTGAGGATTTCTTCTTCTCTTTGAAAATGGGCTCAACTTCCACACACTATACAACAGCCTCTAACATCTGACTGTAGTTTTGTTCCTCTGAACAAATGTTGTTCTTAAGAAAGATCCTTTTGAAGTTGTTTTTTGGGGATGGTGGTGTTTTCTTTAAGTGTGAAATGTGGTCATCCTATGATGCATGTTATTATTATATTTTTTTAAAATAAGAGACAAGTAGCAACTTTTTAGCATGAGCAGAGAAGCACTCCTCACAGCACGTGTTTTGAAACACCTGCTTTCTTTGTTCATTCACCCATCAGTGGACACTTAGGTTGCTTCCATGTGTTGGCTCTTGTGAATAATATTGCAATGAAAATGGGGGTGCCCGTATATCTTTGAAATAGTGATTTCATTTTCTTCAGGTATATATCCAGAAGTGGGACATATGAGGGAATATTATTCAGCTGTAAAAAAAAAAAAGAGAAGAAAATTCTCCTGTTTGCCGCTACTTGGATGAATCTGGAGGGCATCTGACAGAGAAACACAAATACTATATGTTCTCACAGATATGTGGAATCTGAGAAAGCGGAAATCATAGAAACTGAGTAGAATGGTGGCCACCAGGGTCTGGGGTGGAGGAAATGGGGGTGTTTCCAGTTTAAGATGAATATATTCTGGGGATCGAATGCACAGCATAATGACTATAGTTAACAACACTATATTGCATACTTGAAAGTTGCTAAAAGAATAATGTTCTCACCACACACACAAACAAAATGGTCATTATATGAGGTGATGGAGAGTCTACTATCCTTAGTGTGGTTATCACTCTGCAATATACATGCATGTCGAATCATCACGTTTAAACATTAAGCTTACACAATGCTGTATCTCAATAAAGCTGCGGGGGAACCCACCTGATTTCCATCAGGCACTTTTTGCTCCTAGGATTTGCTAAAACATGAGCTGTGATGTCACGGAAGGTGCCGCCCTTGCTCACCACTGTGCTCCCTGCATCCACCCATCAGCCTAATCACTCCCAGGGAAACCAGCACTGGCCCTGAGGCAGAGCAGGAAGTGCCATCCCTCCAGCTCTGGGTGGAGGAAGACTGGGCTGCGCTGGCCTACTGGGTCGCATGTCTGCACCCGTAAGAGAAACTATAGTTCTGAAATAAGACGAAGGGCTACACTGTGGAGCCAGGCAGACCTTGGTGTACTCAGCCCAACCCTAGATCCTGGAATGGAAGAAAAAATTCCTAAGGGTTGGCAGAGATGAAGCTGGGATTTTTATAAATGAATGTTTCCTGGAGAATTAAGGAAGGAGAAGGAAACAAACAAAAGATAGGAGCAGAGTACAAATAAGCATCTAGTGTGCCCGGGCTTTTCCTTTGGTGAGCCCTGGTCCCATCGCTGGTGTCCCGCCCAGCTGCCCAGCCCAGGTCCTAGCAGGTGTCTGGCCCCAAGTCCCCGGTGGTCTCAGCCCTAGAAAGCCCTCTCTTACTTTGTATAACAGGAGTAAAAGTTTGAGTGTTTTTCAATGAAGTCAGTTAGGGAAGATCATTTTCCCACGGTGGCCAATAACTGAGCCTTTGGAGCATTAGAACCACCAAAGCAGACTTCATTTCTCTTTGACAGCTGGAGACATGAAAGGCCAACACTCATGCTCACAGCGCCGGGGCGATCCAGGTCTGTTTCTCCCTGTGGAGGTTCTTAAATCCGAACTGTCACCAGTTCTGTTACCAAAATGCCGTTCCCTCATTGCAGGTTTACGACTGCCTCCAGGAATTTAAAGGAAAAAGCCTCGTTCCTGCCACCTCCCATGCACAGGCGTTATCCTATGCGGTAGGTGACGCTGGTCTACCAAATAGCAGAGCTTGACTGTGATGCCATTTTGCTCACAGTGCTAGTTTAAACGAATTAAAGGCTCTAATGCAAAAGTCTGATTCATGGTTATGCATCTATTAAGTGCTTCTAATTCAGTTTTACTAGAAAGAAGAAACTTGGCCTGTATCCCCCAAATTAAAACAAACAAAAAATAACATTTGTAACATGTGTCCATTCTCTCTTTTCTCTAAACCTTGGACTCAATTTACCCTGTGTAAACTGAGTAATATTATAGTAATGATTCCTGAGTCTATAGCTCCGGCTGGGCTCTGTTCCTGAACTGCAGACTCATATCTAACTGCCACCCTCCCCCCCCCCCCCAGATATGTAATGGACCCTCACACCTGGTGGGTCCCACACTGAGCTCCTGATCGCCCTCTGCTCTCCCAGACTTTCATGTCACAGTAATGACATCTTTGTCCTTGCAGTGCTCAAGCCAAAAATCCTTGAGGTCAGCCTTGACTTTGTCTTTCTCTCATACCTCACATCCAATCTAATGGAAAACCCTATCAGTTCTTAGAATATCCGATCTCACCACCTCCACTGTGCCACCTGACATAAGCCATCATCATCTTATATAGATAATTGCACCATAGCCTCCTACCAGGTCTCTTGCTTTTACTCTTACCCCCTGTAGTCTATTCCCAACACAGCCACCAAAAAGATCCTCTTTAAAGGCAAGTCAGATCATGTCGCTTCTCTGCGCAAATCCTTCCAATGTCTTCCCAGCTCAGAGGAAACCTGTAAGTTCTTACGTAGCCAAACAGAATGTAGCCCTATTACTTCTTTGATGTTCTGCTCACTGTTCTCCCCGTTTACTCTACTCCAGCTCGATGAACCCCTTGTAGTTGTTTGAACCAGACATGCTCCTGCCGCAGGCCCTTTGCACTTGCTATTTCCCAGTGTTAGTAATGCTCTTGCCTGTGGATTCACGATTTCCTTCCTCATTTCCTTCCGGTCTCCACTCAAATGTCACTTTTATACTGAGGCTTTCCCTGGGCATTCTTTCTAAACTTGTAATCTCCTGTAGTACTCCCTATCTACCTTCCCTGTTTTATTTTTCTTAACACTTCTCACCATCAACAAAACTATTTCTTTGATTTTCATTGTCTATGTCGCCGCACTAGAATGTAAACTCTATGAGAATGGGGATTTTTGTCTTCTGCCTAGTTCACTACTGTATTAGCATCACTCAGAACTTTGTCTAGCACATAGTAGATGTTCAATAAATATTTGTTGAATGAAGAAATAAATGTAACCTATTGTATTATTATTTATTGCTCAAATCATATTAAAATAAATGGGAGAAGAAAAAAGAAGAAAAGCTCTACCCTCGATTCCAGAAATCAACAAGTCAAGTTGTTCTTAGTTGTCCAATTGTAATCCTAGTGAATGGAGGTGATGCTTAGTAAACAGCTTGTTTTCATTTAACTGTATGTAATGACACTCAACTGCTGCAGACTCTGGAGCTGATTAAAGTCTTGAAAGATCTCAGGCCCTGTCAGAAAGCAGGTCTACACCTAAACCACAGCAAAGAGATCAGCATTTATTCTGTTTAGTACTTTTCCTTTGCACAAATATTAAAATTGCTAATCAAATAATAAGCCCTAAAATACAAATTACTATTCCCATTTTCCAATAGAAGAATGTTGCGTCCCATGGGATTAAGCTACCCAAGTCCTCAGGTATTTAAGCCCGTACCTGCCCATAAAGCCCTCATATTAGCAAAGAGATGCTTTAGAGCCACGAGAGGGAAACTGCCTTGGAAGGTACGACATCACGACACTATGTCAGTCCCTCTAAGCCTGTGATACGCAGGCCTGGGACACTGGGCTTTCGATCTGCCCCAAAGTTTGGATTCTACCTGCCATAGTAGAGTTTAATAAATAAGAAAGAGTTGTAGGCCTTGACTTTAAAGATGAAAAAGAAGACTTAAATAACAGCTTTTCTTAGGTCAACATCATGCTAATCATGGTATCCAGTCTGGGTGAGGAACTAGGGGATAAAGATGTTTTAAAATGTCACAGTGTGTGCTCTTTCGTCGCCCAGGTGGTGGAGCTATTACATGCAGGCTCTGGTTCCCCTGAGGTCCCAGAGCTGAGACGAATCCTCCAGGCGCCACACTTCAAGGCAAGTGCTTGCGCCAGTGGACAAGGCATGCCCTCCAGGCACGAAGACAGAGTGGGGGGAAGAAATGCGGTGGGAAAGGCGCTCTCTGAATAGATAGATGTCCTATTGCTGCACATGCGTGACCAGCACTTTGTACCAAAACACGTGGGACTCGTGTGGTCGGTCATGGAGCCAAGCCTGACATACTTATGAGGAGACATCTAGAACTTTCCATGGTGTCTTATTCCCGTCCCTCGCCCCCGCAAAACCTCTAAAACTCTGGGGCAATCAGGGTAGCATCCTTTCTGTCCATCTTGGGAATATTTTAAGTTTTTTTTTTATCCTCACCCGAGGACATTGTGCTTTTTTTTTTTGTTCAGATAGAGTGGGAGGGAACGAGAGAGAGAAACATGGATGTGAAAGGGACACATCGAGTGGCTGCCTCCCGCACGACCCAACTGGGGCCGGGGACAATCTGCAACGGAGGTTCATGCCCTTAGCAGGAACCAAACCTGGGTCTCTCTGGACCTCAGACCGATGCTCTAATCACTGAGTCAAACCTGCCAGGGCGGGAATATTTTAAGTTTTAATAAGTGAGTGAAGGTACTGGGAAACCACAGTATGATCAGCTCTGTGGAGGTAGGGGTATATGAAAGACATTTAATGGCAGGACAGAAGCCTACCTCTTAGTACTTCCAGAGTTTGAGATAAATTTATCAGCAAATTAGAACTTTAAGAGAATGTCTGCATTTGGAGCAATGGAATCAACGAGTCAATAATTTTAGTTCACAAGATAACCCTAGAGAATGTTCCCTGAGTTCCAGTGAAGTTCTGCCCAACAATCCTGGGCAGGGCTGTAGGGTGACTGTTTCCCTACCCTGTGAAGTGGAAAATTCAACGTGATGGGTCATTAGAAGGGACATTTTTATCATACCTTAAAACAGGGAACTACTTTTTCTCATTCTGTTCCACATGGGCTTTTGGGTGTCACCGACAGGTTAAACCAGCCAGGTATTTTGATTACTGCCCCCCCCCCGCCTTAATTAGCGAAAATATTAGAAAAGATGTTTTTAGTTCAAGATCATAGAAGCACCATGGATGACGTGGCTTGTCAGGAAATGAGAAAGTGACAGAATGATACATTTTAACAGAAACAAGAGAATATATTATGTATTGCTTAAGCTCTGTGTCTTGTTTCTCCATCGGTACAGTGAGGACGGCACATGTGCCTGCCGCACAGTCACCCTGACGATTCAGTTAATGCACATGAAAGGCTGAGAGCTGCACTGGGCAGGCACGTGTTGGTTGTTGTTATCACTGTGTCTTTTTTAAAATTTTTTTTTATCCTTACCCAAGGACATTTTTGCATTTGTCTTCAGATAGAGCAGGAGGGAGAGAGGGAGCAAGAAAGAGAGACATCCATGTGAGAGAGACACATCAACTGGTTGCCACCCACACAACCCCAACTGGTGCCAGGGACAAACTGCAATCGAGGTTCGTACCCTTAGTGGGAACCGAACCTGGTCCGCGGGCTGATGCTCTAACCGCTGAGCCAAACCGGCCAGGGCGTTATCACTGTCTTACACAGTATCAAGTCAGTTTTCTAGATGGATATGTCCTATGAGTGACATTTGTTCACCTTTTTCTTCTCTGTTCCTAGGCCTTGCTCAGTGCCCACGACACTGTAGCTCGGAAAGATTTTGAGCCCCTTCTCCCCCCACTGCCAGACAATATCCCTGAGACCGAGGAAGCAATGAGGATTGTTTGTTTGGTGAAGAACCAACAGCCCCTGGTAAGGAAATCATTTTATCATTTCAGTTAGAATTATACCAGGGTTGACTGTGAACTAAATTATGTCTGGTTACTTGGGCTGTATGCTCGTCTGTGGTCACAGACACGGTTTGAGGCCCTCAGAAATGTGAGGGGAATCCATAGGAAAATGGCTGAACTGAATCGTAAAGATTTTTGCCTGTGGCTTCAAACACATTACCTGTTGTAATGTTTTCACTGGGAACTATTTCTGTGTAGTGTTTTTCTTTTTTGAAAGAACTGTGAGAGATAAGACATATATATATATATATATTTGGCTTTCTGGCACATAAATATATATTTCACTCAATTCCAATGTATTTGCCTAAGTTGTTGTTTTTTTTTCTTCTATTAATGGAAAACTAAGTAAGTCATTTATTTGATTTTCTAAGAATAACCCCCCTTGATTAGGTTGTAGTTGTGGGAGGTTACTTTATCTTTGGAAGGATCTAAATATTCTTTTTTTTAATTTATTTTTTACTGTTGACAGTATTATAGATGTCCCCCATCCCCCCACCCCCTCTCCTCCTCTCCCCACCCAGCCCCGCCCCACCCCAGGCCAGGAAGGATCTAAATATTCTTTCATGTCTTTGTTGGTTAGATAGAGAACTCAGGGGCTTGGGGGCCAGCGCTGAATGGCCTTTCCCCTTTGATGGCACCGTATGGCCCTGCTTGGTGCGAACACCCTCATCCGAAAGGCCAGAACTACACTGAGGGAAGCCACCAGAAAAATGGTCACATAAGCTGAAGGAGGGCTTTCATTGTACTCTCTCCTCAGGGAGCTACCATCAAGCGCCACGAGACGACAGGGGACATCCTGGTGGCCAGAATCATCCACGGCGGGCTGGCAGAGAGGAGTGGTAGGCTGGAGCAGCAGGGCACAAGCGGGCCCAGGGAAGTCGGAAACCCTTGACTGTCTGGTCTTCGTTGCAGGGAACCCCTCTGCCAGCTAAGGCCAGGCACTTTAATCAGTGCCACTGCTTGGTTGCTAAAGAAAGAAGGAATCACTATCGCAGGGAACTCCTGTTCCTCTCCCTCATTGAGTCCCCCCATTCTGGGCACCACATTAATGTTCTCTCAGTTTACATTCTCGTAGCAACCTAACGAGGCAAGTATCATCATGTCAGTTTACAGACGAGGACACTGAGGCTCAAAGTGGTTAAATAAGTAACTTGTTCAGTTTGAATCATAACTTAAGTCCAGGTCGGTTACATTCTGTTCCCAACATCCACTCTCCACTTGGTCCTTCCGCTTTCAAAGGCATAGCTGTTCCCCATCCTGAGCTGCCTTGCTGGCCCCTCCCCTGCTGGGCTACTGAGGGAGCAATTCTGTCTCTGTGCCCCCTGTCCTTACCGACCACAGCCCTGGGCCCCTGGCACAGGGTATAACCCCAACATTCTCATAGTAATTACTCCAGGATTTCCTTGTTGTTAAGTCCATTGGCCCCTCCTTCAGCCTCAGTTTTATTTCTGTTTCTCTAGCCCATGTTGACCATACCTTTCCTGAAATTTCCATCATGCTTGGTCTCTGGCTGATGACATCATCCAGCTTCTAGTCTCCTCTCTCTGACAGTTCCACTGTTTTACTTTACATTTCTCAAGGCTTAATCTGAACCCCCAGTCTCTCCACAGTGTCTCTTTTGACGTGTTACCCCTGTCCTTTTCATTTATCATTTCCTCATGACCCTGACATCTTTATTTTTAGTGTTATCTTCTTACCAGTGTTCTAGTTCCACTTTATAACATCAGATTAGCAAAAATTAAGCTACCACCATCAGTCAACACCCAGGGTTGGTGAAGTGGAAAAATGTGCTTCTCATGCACTACAGTGGTGGTGTGAATTAGAATAACCACTCTGCTTTGGCAGCAGTATAAGTATTAGTATTGCACAATACATTTAAAAACATCAGAGCGTGCCTGAGTTAGCAAGTGTGTTACCTAGCTTTGGGAAAGGTATCTCTATTTCTGCGGATCTCCTGTCCCATCCTTCTTTGTTTTGCATTCCTCTTTGCCTAGGTCTGTTATATGCTGGAGACAAACTGGTGGAAGTGAATGGAGTTTCAGTTGAGGGGCTGGACCCGGAACAAGTGATCCATATTCTGGTAACAGTCTCCTCTTGGCCTTCCCCATGACTCAGTGAGATGCAGGCTGAACTGGGGCCACCCCTGGTGTGTGCACTGTAATGTGAGGGGACTTGATCCCTCTCCACACTGCCTCTCTCCTGGCCTTGTCTGTTCTGTATGCCCCCCGCCCCCCACACCTCCTTGGGGAAAAGACTTCTCTTCCCAAGCTGCTCTTCTCGTCTCAGGAAGCCTGCCAGGTTCCCTGCCCAGGTCCCTCACCACCTGGGCTGCTCCTTTAGACACAGAGCCCGAGTGGGCACAGTGAGACTGTGGAGGAAAGTCTGAACCTGAGCAAACCACTCCTTGCCCCCCAAACATTTTTGTACAGGTAAAATCTGCTCAACAGCTACCTTGAGGCAGTTTTGGGGTGGGAAAGAGGTCCCTGGAGGGCAGCATGGGGAGGGGGACATCCTTGCTGGCTCTGCCGCTGTCCTTGATGGTTTGAACTGGGGAGTTTCTGACCTGGTTATACAAGTCTCTTCTCTCGTTTAGGTCCCCATTCCCATCCTTCAAACAACTGCCTGAGTCACAGTGCAGCTGTCAACAGCATAGTGACATGGCCCACACTACCCATCCTTCCCCATGCACACCCCGAGTGTGGGGCCTGAGGTTGATGACTGTGTATTGTGGACACTAGTGGTCCTCGTACTGGTTTCTTTGGGAAATTTAAATTGTATATGCCTCAGGGACTGAGGAGGGGTGGTATTATAAAGAGTATGTCAAATGATACACCTAAACATGTTGCAGCCACTGCTGTAAGATTGTGTGTGGCACACAGATACTGACAGATACTGTCACTCACAGCCCCACACAGCCTCCTCCTCAGTCTGGTGCCAGCTGTGGAGTTGCCAGGACAACTGGGTTGTGAAATTCCTAAGAATGAGAACAAAGTTTTGTTCATCTCTGGATCTCCAATGCCGGTCACAGTGTGGATGTCAGGGTGATTCTTGCCTTCCCTATTGGGCTGAGAGATTCTCTGTCTCCTCTAAATGTTTGAGGGCCCCCCATTTCCACCATTAACTTGGAAGCTTGTCAGTCCCCCCAGGAGACCTGGGAGCCCGTCATCTCCCCTGTCAGACTGGGCTGCCTGGTACAGAAAGAGGAGATCATTACTGACTGAGGCGTGAAGAGGGCATGTGCCACGAAGAGCTCCTGTCCTCCCCGGTGCCTGTGGGAAGGAGGCCTTGCTGAGTGAGGTGGTCCTGGTGGCAGCAAGACGGAGGGTCCCTGGGACAGGCCAGGCCTCGGTGTGCATTTTGCAGACCCGTGACTCTGGCGCAGGGCAGAAGCAGAGCTAAACTTCTTCCTAATTTCCATTTCTGGGTGGTACTATTTAGCTGTTGAAGCCGTGTAAAAGTCCCTGTGGAGGAAATCACCACTGGCCTTGAACATCTGAGTTGTAACTCCACGTGCTGAATCCCAGGAACTCGCTGAACTCTGCGATTCACCATCCTTCCCCCTTTGACCTTTTCTAGGCCATGTCTCGTGGCACAATCATGTTCAAGGTGGTTCCAGTTTCTGACCCTCCTGTTCGTAGCCCGAAGATGGTAAGAATTTGCTGAGCCTTCACACTGCTGCTCTCTGTAATGTCGAGCACTTGCTCAACGCTGTGTGGCATATTTTCCAATACTGATGGCATGAGAGGCAAGTGAGTCAGGGAATACAGCAAAAGGAGATAAGGCACCCAGAAGTTAAGAAGTCACATCAAGAAGTGAACACTTGAGCAAAAACTCTCAGAGCTAAGAGATTATATTTCCAAAGCCACTTCTTTTTATAGCTCTTAGACTCAGTTCAAGGGGCAGGTTCTCCTTTTCTGAGAGGGTGGAAAGATAGGACCAGCGGGCGGATGAGTGGAGGAAACAGTTCTGTCCCATGGACCGTGCATGCGCAGGCTGACTGTGCCTCTGCGCACCTGCTATCAGGTGTACGTCCGCGCCATGACTGAGTACTGGCCCCAGGAGGATCCCTCCATCCCGTGCGTGGACGCCGGGTTGCCTTTCCAGAAGGGGGACATCCTCCAGATTGTGGACCAGAATGATGCCCTCTGGTGGCAGGCCCGGAAAATCTCAGACCTCCGTTCCTGCGCTGGCCTCATCCCTTCTAACCACCTTCTGAAGAGGTAAGAAGCTACCACTCCTGGACTTAGGACTGAGCCATAAGGAAATAAAGCATTTTCTCAGGCTTCTGTTACTGCAATTAAGATGAGATGAAAAAAAAAAGACAAGCAGATGGACAAACTCACACTGGTTTATAAACCCAAGTGTCAACTTACCCATATGCCCTAAACTTCTGAAATACCAAAGGATCAGAATAATACCAGCTAGAAAGGAGAGAAAACACATAGGAAATAAAATTAAACTTAAAATGGTAGTTCTAACTCCCTGTATTAATCTTTCAAGGCTGAGTTGAAACCTCAGTTTCTGAATCTCAACCCACCACACTCACTCTGCGCTGTTGAGGTCCAAGGGAGTGATAGAGACAAAAAAAAAAAAAAAAATTTTTTTTAAAGGTTGAAGCCTCAGCCCATGTTAAGCGATCAGGAAGTAGAAAATTAGCAGAGGATGCTGAGAGTAAATGACGGATGAGGCAGGATGAAAAGCAAGATGGTGTGGTGCTCTGATCAGCTGTCAGTTGCTGTTGAGGGGACTGAGAACTGACCATTGACCTGAGCAATGTGGAAGTCACTGGGGAGCCTGATGAAAGTGATTTTAGTGGAGGGGAGGGGCCAAAATCCTAGTAGAGTGAGATTCGAAGAATTTGATGACAAGGAGCAAGTACAAATCTTTGAGACATTTTGGTATGAAGCAGAACAATAGAGAAATAGCTAGAGGGAAATTTTTAATGACACAGGAGAAAGAGAACTGCCTTGAGCAGGCAGAAGAAGAGGGTTTGGCCTTATGTGGGGTCAGGAACAGTCCGTCCAGAGAATGCAGCCGAGTTGGGTGGGGTTTTGGGGAGCTTGTGGAAGCTCTCTTCCAGCTGCTCTCATTTTCTCTGGGAAAGCAGCAGCCATAAACTGAGTAAGGGTGGGACGAGGGGGCTGGGGAGGAGGAGACAGCCTGGAAAGTCTCTGTGAGCACGAAGAGCAAGAGGATTGGTGAATACAGTAGGGTCAACACTGAGGGCCCCGCTAAGGTTAAAGGTCATACATTTGAAGTAAATCTGGTCAGTTTCCTTGGGGGCAGGTCCAGATTAGACAGAGAATTGGATTTAACAGTAAATCAAGAAAGAGCCCAGGGAGTAACTAAAATGAAGGAACATGGCATTTAAGCTGTTAAGGAGGGAGGTGAGGAGGTAAGGGTCAGTGGACAGGTCCTGGATGGTTATAGGTCCTGTGGGAGCAGCAGATTATTGGGGTTGGGAAGATTGGAGGAGTTGGTGACAGAAAGGTTCCTGGGAATTGAAATTATGGAGAGATTGCAGGCACTGGTTCTAAAGAGTTCTAGGGCATGACAGTGGGAGGTGGTGGCCGAGAGAGAATGCAGGGAAGGTCATTGGGAGAGAGGAGATCAAGGACCCGGGAGGCCAGGGTGTTAGAAGAGGTATTTATATGCCTGATAAAATCATTGGGAATTAGGACAGAATGGTCTCGAGAGCGTGAGCGTGAGCAGGAGTAATCTGGGAATGGTTACCAGAAGAGTGGGGGAATAATAGCCACAGCTGGGGGTTCTAGGAAGAGGGAGAGGGTCTGAGGACGGCCCTGAGAAGCAAGGACAGGGACCCCGCCGGCGGCTATGATCAGCGCTGTGCGGGAGCCGGCTAATGGAGCCCACTTCTCGTACCCACCGTCAGTGAGGTCAGCGTGGCAGCTTGAAACCAGCCCCATGACAGTACTGACCCTGAGGAAATTGGCAAAAGCTACACATCAGGGCTCACCTGCCCCAGAGCTGCTGTGCCAGTCACCAGCCGGAGTGGGAGACAGCCAGATTCCCCGAGGTGCAGGGAAGGCTGCCCTCCGCGAGGCCTGGGTGTTGGTTAGAGCTAGAGTGTGAAGAGCTCACTCACAGAGGAGCCTGAGGTCTGGGAGATTCTGCTGAAGGTTCCATTGAATCCCAGGGGGCGTGTGAAAGGCTTTGGGGAGGGGGCGCTGGTGGACAGTCTTGTAGGGATTAGAGTGTAGAGGACAAAGGATGACCTGAGCTTTGGGGGCTGAAGACATGAACAGGGATAAAGACCTGATGAGATTAGTTCTCAAGGTCTCATGACGGGCAAGCGTGGTGAGGAGGCTCTGCTGGGGTCTCGCACAGAGCACACAGGAAGGACAGGTTTATTGGGTTAGTGCCCAAGTCGGAACCGCAGAGGGAGCTGAGGTCATGGTCCCTAAAGGAACCGCAGAGGGCACCGCAGCCCGGGAGGGAAACAACGTGCTGTGAAAATTCAGCTGAAGCAGGCAGTGAGCCGGGCAGGGCTCCTCCACTGAAGTCTGGCCTGTGAACTAGTGGTCTCGAGCGGGTTTCACTATAAGTCAGTGCGGCTCTGAAAATACCCACGAGGCAGGAAAGACATAAGAAAGGCTGTGTATTTAGAGAATGTATTCGACAATATGTTTGGAGAAGAAATCTTTTCCACTTGGGTGGAGGCAGCAGAATTCTAGGAGAATTCTGTCCTGGATCTATTTCACCTGGGTTGAGTTTTCTTTTTCCTCACAGTGTATTTCTTTTTTCATAGGAAGCAACGCAAGTTCTGGTGGTCTCAGCCATACCAGCCTGACACCCACCTCAAATCAACCATCTGTGAGTGTGCTGATACCTTAAACCCAGCATGTGCACCCCGGGAAAACTGGCTTCCTCTCTCCCAGGGCTGGCTTCCTGCCCAACAGGATCTTTAAATGTCCCCACTGCTCCAAATACCCTGGCAGCCATCTGAAATCCTACCATAGACATTCATTCTTTTGGATTTAGAAGCGTTTGCAGTTTCATATGAAAATGGACATGTTCTTGTGTTGGTGACCACTCCCCACCTGGAGTCCTCTGAGATCCCTCCAGCGGGCAGATGCATTCACGTGCTGGCCGGCAGGCTGCACCGCCGCACGCAGACCTTCTCTGCGTTCTCTTTGGGGGTTTACATTTCACACTGTTCAGAAGCTCAGATTAACAGTGTGTGTGCCTTTGAAGAATAAATATGGGATCGAATTGTTGGTTAGTGAGTGTAGTTTGTTTGCTAGACTGTATTATTCAAATGGCAGGGGAGGAATGGTTAGTAAAGGGACCGTGGCGGCAAATGCTTGTGGACTGCCTTTTGAAGGGCGCTGTGGCTCTCTGAGCCCGTCTGGAGCCCGCTGAGGGCGGCCCCGGGAATGGCCCTAGGCAGGCCCCTGGAAAGCAGTTAACGAAGGAGATGGGGCACCTGGAGGGGGCCGGGGGCACAGGGCAGGCAACAGCATCAGCGTCAGATTTTGCCATGGCACGTCCTCACTTTATTTCTCCATTCTCTAAGCCAAAAATTATTCTTTATTTTATTTTTCTCTTGAAAAGATATGATGAAAGCTATAGAGACATTTTTGAAAGAAGAAAACACTTATAATTCCTCACCACTGACTATATTTTCATGCTACCTTCCAGTTATGGAAACATGTGCACGGTTACAGTAACAGCTGCAATACCACTTTTTATCTTTATTGTAATTGAACATTTTATCAGAAACATTTTTCATGTATAATTTTTATAGTAATATTTTAGTTATTTCCCTTGAAAAGGGTTGTTTACCAAACCAGGTTGAAATACTTCTGTAATTCCTTTATCTATTTCATTTCTCAAGACACATGGACATGCTCATTGGGCTTCTAATCAGTGTCTGATCACTAGTACAGCCACTGGCTGACAATTTGCTTGTGTAGCTTATGTGCAGTTTTTTTCAGGGCTTTTGAAAACTCCGCCCTGTAAGTAGCTTGCGGTCCCTATTATTATCCTTACACGTCTCTAAGTCCAGGAACGCCAGGTTTGGGGCCACTGACTCCAGGATTGCTCTCACAGGAGTGTTTCTGAAGGAGCACAGTTGTTTTGTAAGCTATTAGATTATTTCTTTTCTTTTAAGTGTTGTAGGTGATTTTGCAATAGATACTATTTTGTATCTTCCTGCTCTGCCTAAATTTTACATTAGGAAAAAGAAATGTTAGGAGCAGTTTACTGAGTCAAGAGGTTTAGGCATTTTTATTAGCCAAGAGTTATTGAAAAATTCCAGGCCTATGTTGGTTTACAGATGGTTATTAGAAAGTTACTTACTGAAGATGCATTTATAGGTGTCATCCCTCTTTCTTTCCCACTCTTCCTCCCTCCCTTCCTTCCTCCTTCCTTCCTTCCTTCCTTCCTTCCTTCCTTCCTTCCTTCCTTCCTTCCTTCCTTCCTTCCTTCCTGTCGCGATAAGAGTTCCTAAAATATGCTGAACTAAGCATATTAATTCAGAAGTGAGTAGAATGCAACCTTTTATAGCTTATTGGGATGAAAAGTAGGGTTTGCCAGAAACAAGTAGATCCCCATCTTTAATAAGGCTCATATATATATATATATATATATATATATATATATATTTCTATAGGTTATTCACTTATCATTTTGTTACGAAATTTCTAGAGAATAAGCCCAGAATATTAACTACTATAATTTTGACACTTTGCTTTTCTTATTGTAAGTAAATTAATCTGAGAAATTGAGCATAGACTAATATGTTTTCCCTCTCTCTCTCTCTCCCTCCCTCCCTTTCTTTCAACCATTTGTCTGTACCCAGCAATTTCTATGGAAGAAGGTAAAAAATATTATTTGGAAAAAAAAATCCTCATCTCCAAAGACTCCTAGAAATTTCCTGTAGTTCTCCTTATTCAGTTTAGCTATTTATTAAGCTCTTACTATATATCTAGTAGTGAGCTTGTTACTAATACCCTAATTTATAAAAAGATGTCAGTCAAAAGAACACATACACAGTAATTGTCCTAACACAGAGGAATAAAAGAAAAGAGAATGAATGTTTACAGGGTGCAGTCCCAGAGTCGAACACACTGCATCCTAAGAACTCAATAAAAGCTGCGAAACTGCTCCGCTGTTTCGTGTCAAGTGCTTTACACACATTGTCTTCAAAATAACCCTGTAAGGACATTATGATTGTTCCCATTTTATGGATGAAAAGATTGAGGTTCAAAGAAGGTCAGAACATTGTCAGAAGTTCAGGTAGTGTAGTCCTGTCTGAGGGCCCTGCATCAAGGGCAAACGGGACCTCCAGTTACTACCTCTCCCCTTCTTCACGCCCAGACACCCAGGTGACTCATTCTGATGTTAAACACACACACTCACAAACACAAGGAAGCAAGATGCTGTCTGCTTGTGGAGAGGGGGGAGGTGAGTAGTCCCCTTGGCCACCACACCCGTCATCCCTGACACTGGGAAGGGGCTGGGGAGCATGGGCAGGCCTTTGGAGAGGGCTGGGCCACTGTGGTCTTGGTGGTAACAAGCCCACTGTCTTGGTCTGCTCAAGCTGCCATAACAGGCTACCACAGACAGATATTTATTTTCTCACAGTTCTGGAGGCTAGAAGTTCAAGATGAAAGTTCTGGCAGGGTTGGTTTCTGGCGAGGCCTTTCTTCTTGGTTTGCAGATGGCCACATTCACCTGGCCAGCTGTGAGTGCATGAAGAGAAAGAGAGAGACCTGGCGACATTTTCCCTTTTTATAAGGCTACCAGTTCTATTGGATTAGGGCCCCGACCTTATGACCTCACTTTACCTTAATTGCTCCCTTAAAAGCTCAGTCTCCAAATGGGGTTAGAACTTCAGATGAATCCTAACAGAGACCCTAGCCAATAGTGTGGAATTGTTGATTTTGAGAGAGCAAAATCAGTACATCTATTAGATCCTAGAGTAATAAGTTTAAAACATCAGGGCTGCTTCTGCTATTATAGTAGTTTTTGTTTGCCTTAAAAAACAAACGAACAAAAAACCCTTGTTGTCTCTGTAATTTGTGAATAATAGCACAAAACATTGAGGGACTATCCTTCCAGTATTCAAAAACTAGCATCTGATTTAGCAGAGATGTCATCCCTGTCATTGATGAAGGAATGAAGTTCCAACATGAACCTTTATTATTTCATGTTTGTCTTGCTCCTTAATGTAAACCAATAATATCAACCAGTGTTCTTGCTAGAACTACACTTTCTCATCAATCACAACCCTGATTTTGGCTACAGATGCAAGTCTGGCAAAATCAGTGAATGCATTCTGTGAGAATCAGTTGGCTTATGGAATTTATAATAAAGAGTAGTGCATAGTTTAGATTATTTGTAAAACAAACAAACAAAAAACAAACCCCAAACTCTGGTTATGTCCTAGGAACTAGTGAGTTCATTGTTATAAATTACTAATCTGGAAAATAATCTGTAACTGACTATAAGGAATTGGATGATACTTCTGAAAATGTCAGCTATATTACTTGCTTATCTGTGCCCCTAGTTCTATAAAATAGTATTATTTCATAAAATGTTTCATATTGAATATTTTATTTAAAAAATATTAATGATGTGCCTTTTAAGGAGGCGATAAGTGCTACTTTGTAATATTACAGTTTATTATGTAGAGTATAATAGGTACTTTTATAATATATATCAGACATTTATTAAGCCACTATTTGTTGAGCAGCAGGGAAGTGCTGGACACTGTGCTAGGCACACGAAGTGCAGTGCTGAGACAAGATATTTTTTCTGAATATATATTCAAATCACTAGTTTGATATTAAAAGGAAAATTAAACTTAGTTTAATAAATAATTCATGCACCTACTGTGTACAAGACACTGTACAAAGATCTGTAAAGTATGCAAAAATTAGGAAGACGTTTCCACTTTCAAGGAGCTGGGTAGGAGGGTGACTCAAGCGAACACTCAAATGATTATATGACAAGGTAGATAGATGTGCAGTAGCAGAGTTCGAGGTAGTAGAAAGAAAATGCTCTCCTGTTCACAGCAGGGATGTTCCTCTTGACCAGAGCTTGAGACGGAGCTTGAAGCACCTCAGGCAAAAGGAGTAGCACAAGCAAAGGCACCGAGGAAGAACAGGGCTGCCTGCTCTATAGTGGGAGCGGAAGATAAGTGAAGGGCAGAGCGGACAACAGCTTTCAAAGTTGGGTTTGGGTCATGTTGGAAAGCAGGGATTTTCAACCGTTTTCATCTCATGGCACACAGAAACTAATTACTAAAATTCTGCGGCATACCATAAAATATGTTTTTTGACCTTCTGACAAAAAACAGGTATAATTTTGATTGATTTACAAAAAAAAAAAAAAAAAGGTAATAGTAGCTATCTACCCTTTTTGCTCTGAAGTGACTTTAAAAGAATCAGGTGCCCATACTTGTATATAAGGATTTCTGATACCAAGAACTAACCAATCAGACACAATCTTATTATGTAACATGACCAATAGGATGTAACTATTATATAACCTATATATTTATGGTTCAAGAAAGGGCATTCAGACCTGATGGCCATTGTTATGTTGGCTGTTGTTATTTTTTTATTTGACAATCGAAGGAAAAGAGGTCAGTGCCCCTGACTAAATAGTCAGGTGTTGCATGTTTTAAAAATTCTTGTGGCACACTGGTTGCAAATCGCTGTTGTAAAGGGTTTTCACTGTTAGGATCGTTGGGTTTAAAAGTTATATTCTTTCATTCTCTTATATATACCCAAGCTAAAGTTAAATAGTTAACATTTATTGAGCACTTACCATGTGACTGAACGTTTCATGCGTTATCTCACTTATTCCTATCCTGTATGGTAGGCAGTATTACTATCCCCATTTATAGAAAGAAAACTGAGGCTTAGAGGTAACCTAATTTGTCCAGCATTCAAAAGGCTATGCTTTTACATTTTTAACCATGTTACATTATGTAGCCTCCCATATCATACATCTTCATGTAACACAGCAGAGTCCTTTTTATCTCGCCGAGTGAGCAATAGTTGTAAGAGTAACATTCTTATAAGGTGGTCTGTGTTTTATTGACATAAGCCTACACATAGGGAATTTTGTTTGTCATGCCCACACGTTTTAAGTTCTTCTCTTCTCTTTCTATGCTCTTTTACAGAAGATGACATGAAGATTGACGAGAAATGTGTGGAAGCAGGTAATAGTTCCCCTCCAGAGTTTACCACCAGAGGAAATTCTAAGCGCCTCAGCTACAGAATCTCTTCAGCCAAAGGGGCCACAGGCCTTTCCTCTGGAAGAAACGTGTAGAAGGAATTCCCCACCCTATCCTTTTTCTGTGGTTCTGACACTTGGGAGGGAAGCCCAGCTGTGGGAATGTCTCCAGGTCCAAACCAACCTTCTAGAAATCAGTCTCTTGCAAATGATCACAGCAACACTTAGTAACGCTCAGGGACCACATTCAGTAACATTCAGGTGCAATATCTGGAAACCACCATGCTCTTTGTGAAATACTATAAAATACTGAGTTACCAAATTTTTAAAAAACAAACTATATATATTGTTATTATCTGACATGAGATTCTAGTATAGATAAATAGTGGTATGTTCCAAATTGGAGGAACATATGAAAACTTTTTACATTTCTATACTTGATTTTTCTGTAAATTGGGAAAAGATTTTTCCTGTTAAGTGATAGAACTAAGATTGGCTCAAGAATCACTTGGGTTTTGTTGGGAGACTAGTTGGAGAGACTTTAGTCTGATAGGTGAATTTGTCTTGGCTTTATGGTACTAAAAAATAAAATTCCATCCAGTAAGTTTTAAAGATATATTGGCTTTATTCCATTCAGTGATTCATGAGTTGGTCAGCACCCCATCTAGCAGACAGAAAAGAGCTCCAAGGAGCCGTGCAAAAGGAGAGATTTGCATAGGGAAAGGGAGCGGGAGCAAGGAAGCTACAACAGTAAACAGTGGATTGGCTGGGGCTCGGCCGCCTCCCTTTAGGGGCCGGCAGAGCGCTCTCAGGCAGGAGGGCTAAGTTGTACTTAGGTAAGTCTCAGTTTGGCGATGTGGGACTGTTGTCATGTTTTTAACAATAAGCTAATCTAGTTTTTAGAAACGGAAAGACAATATGAAATGATTAAATCGTGGCTATTTCAAAGATTCACATGTACTTACTACAATAACTACAGAGTAATGCTGGCATCACTATTTATTTTTCCAGGTACACATTCTGTTTTTTTGTTTTTTTTAATTTGCAGTAATATTCATTTCTTTTCTATAATTTTAATTTAGGCAATACATTTACATATTTCAAATTCAAAAACTACAAAACTGTATTCTGTAAGAAGTGCCTCCCTTTCCCCACTGTCCTACTCAGTTTTATTTCTGTGCATGGAAAAGCAGTGACGCATATTTTTTCTCCTTTCTCCCACCTTCATCCTTACCTTTAAAAAAACAAAATAAAACACACATACCCTTTGATAATATGCTACAAAAACTGTTCTCTTCCTGGCTTTTTTACATAACATTATACATTTTGGAGATGATTCCATCTTAGTACATAAAAAGATACCTGATATTTTTTAAGTAGCTTATTGACTAAATAAGTTATTGTGTATTTATACAATCACTCATTGGTAGATGTTTGAGTTATGTCCAATCTTTTTTTATTATAAACAATGCTATAATGCATAGCTTGCAGCATAGCCTGATCCAAGGATGTGTGCACTGGTGATGTTGCTATATATTTCAAGTTGCTCTCTATATAAAATCTAGTTTCTTAATCCCTAGTATCACTTTAAAACACTAACAAGAACATTTAAACTGATGGGAAAGTTGGATTTTATCAAATCTTTCCCAGTCACTTAAACAAGCTTGCTCAATCAAACTATTCATGTACTTATTCTCCTTGCCACACGTCCCTGGCTTATGGAGCCCCAAATCTTCAGGCAGGGTGCATCCCTCCTACATCCACAAGCCCTCTAGCAGCAAAGCTGTGCAATATCCAACACTCCAGGAGCTGCCCATGACATTGCATCTTCCCCTTCCCTCTGAGCCGCTTGTCCTCTCCTCTCCTCTCCTCTCCTCTCCTCTCCTCTCCTCTCCTCTCCTCTCCTCTCCTCTCCTCTCCTCTCCTCTCCTCTCCTCTCCTCTCCTCTCCTCTCCTCTCCCCTCCCCTCCCCTCCCCTCCCCTCCCCTCCCCTCCCCTCCCCTCCCCTCCCCTCCCCTCCCCTCCCCTCCCCTCCCCTCCCCTCCCCCTTCATTTATTTATTTTAAGCTTCTCCTGAATTCCTGCTTGTCATCACTGCTCAACTGCTTAACACCATCTATCTCATTTAAGGTTTATTGATGCCATAGAGACACCACTAATTTGGCCTTGACTTAGGAACAACTTTTTAAAGTTAGTGTGTGTGCAAAAGCATACGGTCAGGGACTTATACTATTAAAACAGATTCAGTATGACTAGTGATATAATGACATTTTTGGGTTTTTGCTCCATGGAAAACCACAGATGAAGAAATGTTTGAATCCGGTAAGTAAAAAAATGAGTATTTGGTATGATTTTAAAATGTATATAGTATTTCAGATGTTGGTGTAATTTGAACACATCCAATAATTGTTTAAATTCGTCAACAGTATAGTTGTGAAATTTAAATTTCACCTTAACCATTATGGCCATTTTGAAACTGTGAGGACGTTTTTTGGTTGTCACATTGGTCAGGGGCACTACTGGCCTTAATTGGTAGGAATCAATAATGCTAGACATCATGTGGCCTATGACACTGTCCTGCCCAATGTTTTGAATTTCCTGCTGAACAAAACTCATTACAAACATAAGTGAGAAGCTCTCTAATACACAATAGTGATGTAAGTTTTCACAAGGCCAACATGAAGCATCTGGTGGTTTAGAAGCCAGTCACCATGGAGAGAGACATTTGAACAGAATAAAGAGGTCATCTTGCAATTACTGAACAACTTATTATTTCACACATTGTGTCTATTCCACACTGATAGTAAATAAGCTGGGAAGTGAGGTGCGAATACTGAATCAATTATATTCTTTTTCTTTAATATGTTATTTTTTTTTTGTTTTTTTGTTTTTATCCTCACCCGAGGACATTTTTCCATTTTTTGTTCAGATAGAGTGGGAGGGAGAGAGAGGAAGAGAGACAGAGAGAGAGAGAGAGAGAGAAACATCGACGTGAAAGGGACACATCGAGTGGCTACCACCTGCATGACCCACCAGGGCTGGGGACAAACCGCAGCCAAGTCATGCGCCTCTAGCGGGATCCGAGCCTGGGTCTCTCTGGACCGCAGGCTGACGCTCTCACTGCTGAGCCAAACTGGCCAGGGCTAATATATTTGTTATCATTGACGACACACAGTATCATTAAGTGTCTGTCCCTCAAAATAATGTTGACCTCATGAGTAACAACATAGATCCCACAGAGTATTTTTTTAAAACTGTCAATCTTTTGGGACATGTTAACATGACTCACCCTCTTTCAAGTGTGTTTCCTCATTTTCTCCATCTCATCAGTCTGTACCTGCTCTGGCATATTATCCCTAGGTCAATTAAGGCAATTTCTCTCTTCCTCTTACCATTTACAAACAAATGTTTGTGTTCAGTTTTACCTGTCATCAAGGGGCCAGTTGGAGATGGAAATGTGTACATGGAATCAGGGAGGGGTGAGGAGTGAGGACGCTCAGGCCAGAGGCCACTACAGGGCCTGCCCCACTTCCTCCCATTCACAGGACTGGGCCATGCAGCCTCTGGGGGGCGGGGCGCCTCTGGGGGGAGGGGCGCCTCTGGGGGGCGGGGCGCCTCTGGGGGGCGGGGCGCCTCTGGGGGGCGGGGCGCCTCTGGGGGGAGGGGCACGGGACTCTCCTAGAGCTGCCTTCCTCACAGTTCTCTCTTTCGAGCCTCATTTTGTGTCCAGTAGACAGGAGTCTTCATAGATAAAGAGCCTTCAGGGAGAGTCTAGATAGGCAATTTGCAGAAAAAATTCCTGTCTCCTGGGCAGCAGAGTCAGGTCCAGTGAGTTTCTGGGTCCCCCGTTGTGTGTTGTTCGTTTGCCTTGCCAGGACTCTATGCTGTCTCCAAGGGGGACAGAATAAAGTGAATGCCTCGCTTTTGTCCTTTGTCTTTATGTGATGGCTGCTTGATCTTCTCAGAGACTTAACTTTTTCATGTTTTTTTAATTTTTTATTTTTTTAAATACACTTACCCAAATATCCAGAGGAACTTTCAGAAGGTAATTGTTTTTATTTCCTGGGTAAGTCAAATAAAGGTATGTTTAAGATCTTTCAGTGCCTCAAAGTGAATACTTGACAGAATAAATTTTAAGATATATAATGTTTTAAGAGTAAAATCAGTGGTGAAATATTCAATTTCATAGAAAATACTTTAAAATAAACAATGAAAGAAATTCAGCTTGATGAATATATCCCTAAGTAAACATTGCCTTTTAAACTTACTGACATATTTCAGTTAGAAAAATGTGCTTACCAGAGATGGAAATGATATTGGTGTGTTTTCCTTACATTTTAAAATGTGTGTTGTTTTAAAAAACAAAGGTTAAGAGAAAGGTTATATGTATCAGTTCATTCTATGAACAAATGCTCTTTTTTTTTTTTTTTTTTTATCATCCTCACCCGAGGACATTTTTCCATTCTTTGTTCAGATAGAGTGGGAGGGAGAGAGAGGAACAGAGAGAGAGAGAAACATCGATGTGAAAGGGACACATCGAGTGGTCACCACCCGCACAACCAACCAGGGCCGGGGACAAACTGCAACCGAGGTACATGCCCTTAGCGGGAACCGAACCCGGGTCTCTCCGGACCGCAGGCCGATGCTCTAACCGCTGAGCCAAACCGGCCAGGGCTGAACAAATGCTCTTTATGTATTTTTTTCAATGATCAGAACAAAGTTGTATAAGTGAAGAGGAACATATAGTAGTAAAAAGTAATTTGAAAATGACATTTCTATAATGTTTTTTCTGGAGTTTGTAACAATTTTTCTGAGACCCTAGTGAAAGCAGAGACAGGAGTTTTAGAGCCACTGGACAGCTTTTCTCACGTTTTGTCTCATACATTTTGCACAGTCAGAAAGAATCGACAGCTGCCGAGCAAATGCTAATTATACAGAAGGAACCATTTTATAAGGGAGAAGATACAAACCCATCCCTAACAAAGAGGTTAATTATAAGACCTGCAGAAATCAGTATCTACAAGTAAAAGCCAAAGCCAGTTTATCTGTTTGTTTTTTAAGCAGTTAACTTTGGGCATGTTCAAAAATGTATACCCAATTTTTATGTTTTTATAGGGACTCAAGATCTTTCTTATAACTATATAAGCCTAAAATAGGTTTTTGTTCCCAACCATCCTGGACAGAATATTTTCAGTGTATTGCTAAAATTCTGAAGAGTGTCTTCATATAGTTTAGTGCACACAATAGGATGGAAAGTGCTTGGGACATTCTTTGGTAAGTCCCTCAAGGCTAATACAGCTGTGCTGCCATCTGCTGAAAAAGTGTCACTAAAGATTTTCAGATAAGCCCTGGCTGGTTTGCTCAGTGGTTAGAGTGTCGGCCTGCAGACCAGAGAGTCCTGGGTTCGGTTCCTGCTAAGGGCACGTACCTTGGTTGCAGTTTGTCCCTGGCCCTGATTGGGGTCGTGTGGGTGGCAACCAGTTGATGTGTCTCTCTCACATCGATGTTTCTCTCTCTTGCTTCACCCCTCTTTCCCTCTTGCTCTATCTGAAGATAAAGCAAAAAAAATATCCTCGGGTGATGATTAAAAAAAAAAAAAAAAAAAAGATTTGCAGATAATTTCATGCATCTGTTCTAAGTCACCTTCTCCTCTTCCTCCTCACATGTTCTGCTCCTGCCATCCTCTGTGTTCCAGACAAGGAGGAATTTGTTGGCTATGGCCAGAAGTTCTTTATCGGTAGGTGATGATTAATAAGAGGTGGGTCTTTGCCACTTCTTTTATATTCATACCAGCCTGGCAGTCTTCTGTAAGCTTGTTTTACTGATGGACATTTCCAATCTTGTTCCTTGTTCCGGTTTCCCTCTATCTTTTAATTTTTTGTCTGTATTCTAATGTATTGACCATTCATTATTATTCATCTGGTTTCCACCGGATATTTCTTAAATTTTTTATCAAATATATTTTCTGCCAGATTGTTCCATAAGTACTCTTTATTGATACAATAAGTAAATGTATTGAGGATAATGAGATTTTTTTTAGAGAAAGGAGTTACACATATAGTAGAAGGAGCAGGGTAGGGCAAGCCAAGAGAAACCCTGTAGTGTTGAGTGGGCATTGTGGGTATCGGTGTGAACGCATGCTTTTCATCTATATAGAAGGATCAGGTTTGAAGCTGGAAGGACTCTCTCCTGCCCTGCATCTTATGTTCTGTGCATTTCCATCCTCCCCAGCTGGTTTCCGCCGCAGCATGCGTCTTTGTCGCAGGAAGTCTCACCTCAGTCAGCTGCGCGCCAACATGGGCTGTGCCAGCAGCTGCCACAGTGCGCTGGGTGCCCCTTATGAGGAGGTGGTGAGGTACCAGCGACGCCCCTCAGACAGGCATCGTCTCATCGTGCTCATGGGTATGTCCTGACAGGCAGGGTTTCTCCTCAGCCATAGTGAAGTTTTGCTTATCCAAATAATAGTCTTGCATTGGGAGTACTGGTAAAAGCAGAACTCTTTATGGCCTGCCATATAAATGTCTTTAAAACAATAAAGCCTGGCCCTGGCCAGTTTGGCTCAGCGGTTGGAGCGTCGGCCTGCAGTCTAGAGAGACCTGGGTTCGGTTCCCGCTTAGGGCGCGTACCTCGGTTGCAGTTTGTCCCTGGCCCTGGTTGGTCGTGCGGGTGGCAGCCACTCAATGTGTCCCTTTCCCATTGATGTTTCTCTCGCTCTCTCTTCCTCTCTCTCCCTCCCACTCTATCTGAGCAAAAAAATAGAAAAATGTCCTCGAGTGAGGATAAACAAACAAACAAACAAAAAACAATGAAGCCTGTTTTATATGTGTGTGTTTATAAAAATAAAACATTATTGTATCATGCTTTTATTGTATACAGTTGAAGGTCATATGCCATAGTGTATTAGAATTTGTATAATAGCAAGGTGTATTGTGATGAGGTTATAACTGAGATTTTATTTTTTGGCCTGTTTAGAATTTGTTCTATAAGCATAGATGAGTGTTCTCCCAGAGTGGGTCATTGGTCTGCATAAGAAAAAAAATCCTTAATATCCATTTCTCTAAGAAATGTGTGCCCACCTCCTTTAGGACAGTGTCAAAACGCTCTTGGACTGTATTATTGGCGCTAAAGAACAAGGTAAATATAGTGCTGGTGACCTGCGTTGTGGCCAAATCTCCACAAGGCTGGTCTCTGCAGCAGTAGTAACCTAATCTCATTGCCTTCTTCTCTGTGTGTTCCAGCTGTGATTAAGGCAGGTCCCTGGAGAGCAAACAGCATGGCTGATAGCCAGGATCAGCTACAGAATTTTCAGGGCACAGTGCAAAATGCAAATGCAAAAGCCCCTTACTCAAAAATTATTAAGAATTACAATGTGGCAAAAGAAGAGCATTTGACCAAGTTCAGTATCCGAAGCATGGGCCCTGTGTAACTGCATGGGTTCTGTGCCCATGAAGTCAGCCCTGCCTCCAGTGGCATGTGGGGTGTTGTTGACTCCACTGCCTGCCAGGAAACATGCCCCTGACTTTTGTAAGTCACAGGATCTATCACTGCACAGCCTGGTTTCTGGGTTGTGGCATGATGGAAACTTCATTTCAAGAGGAAAGGCAGGATGATCTGAAACGAGGCCAAAGAATTCGCACAGGGTCCAACATTAAACAAAGTTTGCTGGGATGATAATTTCCAGCAATTCCCCACCTCATTTCTGAATGTTGAAGAAGTGTGGGTTCCTCCACAGGTCACCAGGAAAACTCCCAAGAGGCTTCTGGGGTTGTTCCAATTTGTGAGCTGGAAAGCTATGTAATTTCCCTAAGAACATTTGCTCTCAAGTTTCTTCAGTAGAAGGACTGAAATGATGATTTCATCACATCATTGTATTTATCCACATCTAATGGTTTCTGTATGTGACGTTGTGTGTTTAGGGCCTTCTGGTGTTGGAGTGAATGCCCTGAGAAGACAACTCGTTGGACTTAATCCTAACGATTTTCGCGGTGCTGTGCCACGTACGTTTAGTTTTTCTTTCATCACAGTTCATGTTTTGGTAAAACTTTCATTGCCTCGGCAGATGCATGAGCTAACTTAGTATGCTATACTATTGTTGTTGGGAAAATATAAGACACAAGAGATAATTCTTAAAATTTCTAACTCTATTTATTTAAATAAAGGGAAATGGTTTACCAACTAGGCTTTAAAAGGCGACTTAGTCTTTTTTCCATTTCTGAACAATCATATAAATGACCTTTCAGGATCACTGATATTTAGCAGTAACAGCTGCCATTCATTCAGTACTTACTACCTTCCTGGCACTGTGCTTCACTCTTATCTTATTATCTTACTTGTTTTTTATTAAAAATTATAATACATGGCCTGGTCGGTGTGGCTCAGTGGTTGAGTGTCGACTCATGCACCAAGAGGTCACCGGTTTGATTCCCAGACAGGGCACATGCCCAGGTTGTGGGCCTGATCCCCAGTGGGGGCATGCAGGAGGCGGCCAATGGATGTTCTCTCTCATCGATGTTTCTCTCTCTCTCTCCCTCTCCCTTCTGCTCTCTCTAAAATCAATAAAGAAAAAAAATTAAATTCTAACATATGCACATATAATGTTATATAACTATAAATATGATTATACCATACATGGTGGGAACTTCCCATTCATCTCAAGGCAAGACAGAGGAACTTAGGGAAACCACTTACAAAGCTGAATATGGGTTTCCTGAAATTTAGGTGTCAAACTATACCCAAAAATATCTAAAGGATGAGAGCTTAGAGGAAGTAATCAATGGCTGTAGTTTGGGAAGTAGCTTCCCTTTTAGAGTCTGTCACAGCAAAGTATTGTGATGTCTCCCAAGGACCAGATCTGAGTGGGTAATGTGGGAGAAAGTCGTTCTGAGGTTGTCTTAGTTTCTGCCCAAGAGGAAATCTCTGCAGAAAAAGGCCCAAAGTAGATCCCTAGAAACTTCAGAGTGTGGAAGAAATCACAAATGACTAGCTGGAATAAAGATGGATTTGAGATACTCAGCAGTGGTGGTGTGGTGCTGGTAGGGTTTGCAAAATAACGCAAACATCCTCTAGGAGACAAAGAGCCGGATGTAAACATACGCGAAGTTGCAAGGCAATAGTAGCCAGCATCACCTAAGTAAGAGGTTTCCTGCCCTGCTTCCTCTCCTCTCCCTCTGTACTCTAGCCCTGAGAGTTATAAAACCAGGGGAGGAGCAGTAGGAATGCCACGAAAGAGAAGAGGAGTGAATTTTACTTCCTTTCCCGACTTCAGGTTCCCTGAATGCAGCAAGTCTGAGCTGGATATGGGGAGCAGAAACCTAACATGTAAATGAAGTTTATAATTTTTTTTAATCCTCGCCTGAGAATAGTTTCCCATTCATCTTCAGACTGAGTGGGAGAGAGAGAGAGGAAGGGAGAGAGAGAAACATCGATGTGAGAGAGACACATTGACTGGTTGCCTCCCGCATGACTGAACGAGGCTGGGGACTGAACCGTCACTGAGGTATATGCTCTTGGCTGGAATCAAACCTGAGATTCTTTGGTCCTCGGGCCAATGCTCTAACTGCTGAGCCAAAGTGGCCAGGGCCATAATTTTAATTATTACATGGGAATGGAATGATGGTGGACTTTTTATTTTTTTTAACCTAAGATAATCAGAAGAGTCATGGGAATAGCTAAGTTTTTATCGAGGGACAGTGGAAAGTCTTGCTCTATAGCAGGGCAGTGACAGACAAAGAAAAAAGTTGTTTTATGAACACATCCCATAGGTTGTGCTCAAAATGAAAACTTCGAATTATGCACCAATTCACAGACTTTCACATACTATATAAAATACAATCCAATAAAAGCCAAGGAGAAGGGGTCATCTGAGGTTTATGTTAACGTAATTTATTATCACCTGAGAACTATAGTGTTTTACTAGAATTTTTTAGTAAAAAGCTATGGGAGAAGTGATATAATTGTAGGAACTCTAAGGATCTGAAGAGAGGCATGAATAAAGAATAAACAAAAATGACCCCCATGGTGTTGGAAGGAAATTTGACTGGGGTGGGGAACACACAATATACAGATAATGTATTATAGAATTGTACACCTGAACCTCTATAATTGTATTAACTAATGTCACTCCAATAAATACAAACAAAAATGACCCCCCCCCCAATAACATTTGCTTTTTGAGCCTTTTGAATGTCCATAACTCCTTTTATCATTTAGAACCTGTTTCAAGCTCCTGCTATAGATCAGGTATTGATCTATTTTATCCTTAAAATTTGTCAAATGCAAATATACAATTTTTTTATGAATAAGGAAAATTTGTTGTAATTCAAAGACTAGCTTTGCAGCATATGTAGGACACAGTTGGAACTGTGCCTTATTCATCTTTGTGTTCTAAGAACCTAGCATGATAGCTGAAACACAGATACTCAGCATTATTTCAACATTAGTTGAATAAATGTATGAGCAGACAGTGAATCATTTTTAGGTATTCAGTGAACTCCTATGTTCTGTACCAGATGCTATTTAAGCTGAAGATTCTATAATCAAAGTGGTCATAACAACCAATCAGACTGAATTCAGACTCCACAGATCCCTCCTTTCTGGAGATCCCTAAAACTAACCACCATTTCACTGGACAAGACTGCAGTCATTGGCTTTCTCCATGTCAAATCTGAGACAATCTGGTATAGTAGAAAAGATTAGTCTAGGAGGAGTCAGAATACCTAGGTTCTTGTTTTCAACTTTGATTTCATTAGTCTGTGTATATGAGCAAGTTAGTTGCTCTCTAGAATCGTGAGTTAACTATGGGTAATAATATTTCACTTAGCTAGGAGTGTGAGAGATGAAATGAGATACACGAAATGTACTATATAAACATAACACATTGCTGGTATTTCTACCTGGGAGCCTTTAGACATCTCAGGGCTCCCATATAATTCACTAGTGCTAATTTAGAAGTCAGAGCAGGTATTTCCTTAGGGTATCCCTATCCTATTTTAATACTTAATGCATTCTTGTCCACATCATGAGCATTAAATAAAGGTTTACAGATTAAATAATTTTGATAGGAGAACTCCTTTTTTATCACCAGTTCAGACTCTTTTTGGTTCTAGTATTTTATCTGTCTACCTGTTTATATATCTATTCATTTATTATGATTGGACATCTTTATCTAAATGCATATTGGTAATGAATCAAAACATTTTGAAGACTCTATAATCTTAAAAAAATTTTTGTTTTGACAGACACTACTCGTCCCAAAAAGAGTTATGAAATGGATGGACGTGAGTATCATTATGTGTCAAAGGAAATATTTGAAACCCTCATGTACAGTCACAGGTAAGTTAGACATTTAGAATCTGATTCATGCCTCAGGTTGTTTTACATTCAAAACAGAGTCCCTATTTTTATTCATGGTCCAAAGCTTCTGAGGTAATTCATTTTTGTTTCTGAAGAATTAACCAAGGAAATGTAAATTGATATACTAGTAAACCAATTATTGGGTTCAGAGAGAGAGCAGAATCAAAGTGTACATTTTAGAGAATTTGGAGAAGTCATTAAGTCTTAGATCTTCTAATATTTTTTTCTCCATCAAATGTCCACTAATTGCTTTTGTGCTAGCGAAGTCCAATATTTTATTCCATTCTGTTGGAGATTATCTTCATGTTACTGCTAAAAATATTTTGCTTGTAGAAAGAGTTGTTTTTTTGTCCCACCCTTGCAGGATGCTTGAGTATGGTGAGTACAAAGGCCACTTCTATGGCACCAGTGTGGACGCCGTTCAAGCCGTCCTCGATGAAGGGAAGATCTGTGTCATGGACTTAGAGCCTCAGGTGGGTCTATGGTGGAATGTTTCCCATCTTCCCAAAGTAATGAGCGCATTTTGTGCACATGCTATAGGTTTTATTTTGTTACTGTTAGCCTTTTAAGTGTAAGATTACTTCCCATATCTGAGGATATTATGTAAAGGACCCTAAGTAAAGGATCAATTGCCAATAGCTTGTCTTTAGTTGGGGAAGAAATTTAGTTTCTCAGACACAAAATCAGAACTGAGCAGGTGGCCATAAAGAAAAGTTAGAATCTTGCTTTGACCTTGATCACAAAGACACCAAGGTAACTTCATGGAGGGAATAAGATGTTGATGTACACAAGGAAGTGAGGTTCCTGTGTCATCGTACCTATAGCTACCACCTGGCATGGAGCAGGAGTGAGCAAGTTAAGGTAAAATAAAAAACATACAATGTGTAGGCGCAATTTTTATGACACTTGTATTTTCTTTGCCTTTTCTGTAGTCATTTAAAAATATACCTTGTGTGCTAAGAGAATCAGAAAACAATAGATGTGTTCTTACTTGGGTCAAAGCTGGTGATCAGTGTGAAGTTGTCAGTAGTATCAATGGCAAAAGGATGCAACAGAGCTGATCTGCCTTGAGAGTCTGTTTTTGTCTTTATTTTGTGGCATCACGTATAGGACAAATTTCAGTAAGATGCCATGGCTAGTAAGAGGAAGAGTCAGGATTTGAAGTAAACTCTTATTCTAGTACCCTATCTCCTAATTATTAAAATGTTTTTCAGAGTTAAGAACTTGGGGACACATGAGAATACGCTCTGCCTAAAAATAATTGCTAATTTCTGGTCTTAGAAATTTTGAGAACATTCATGTTGACTCTAGGAAATTAGGATTTCTGTGTTATTTTTAAATCCTTGCCCGAGGATATGTTTTTTATTGATTTGAAAGAGAGTGAGACAGAGAGAAGAGAAAAAAGAGAGAAACATTGATCTGTACACACCCTGACTGGGAATCAAACCCGCCATGTTCTGGTATATGGGACAATGCTCCAACCAACTGACCATACCGGCCAGGGCAGGACTTCTGTTTTTAAATGTGCACTTAATTTCTGTGTAGGGTATTCAAGTGGCTCGAACCCATGAATTGAAGCCCTATATCATATTTATAAAGCCACCTAACATGAATTGTATGAAGCGATCTCGTAAAAATGCCAAGGTCATTACAGACTACTTTGTGGACATGAAATTCAAGGTAAGACACAGGAGATAGATAAATGTATTTTTTCCTAGTCATAAAAATAACTGTATTGTTTCCATAGCGTCACCATGTTAAGGAATATAACTTTTGTTTCTAATTAATAATGTCCTTATGATTTATCTTTCCTGGACATCATTCATAAATATTAAAATAAAGTTTAATAACAGCTATAATGCTACTCTTATTTTTTTCTTCCTTTGGGGGAGGGGGGGTTCTAGCTTTAAAAAAGACCCTCAAACCAGTTTGCAAAGCCACACAGATATTGGGTGTGCACAAGCCTGGTATCTGTATTTAAAATAAATTATTTTACAAAAGCATTTGTGTTTACTTTAAAAATGCATTAGTGAATATATCTCATCTGTAAATAAGGTATCTTTATATATTTTTCTAAACATAAACAATTTTATTAATCATGATGGTAATAGAGGGGCCTAGCCAGGTGGGATTAATCACTGCACTTTAACTAGGATAGGTGATCCCCCACCCCTATGCCCTGCCAGTTTTTTAACAATTAAATCCACTTTAAATATTTTAGGTCATAACATATATTCAGCAAGGTGTATAAGTGTTAAGTGTACAGTTCAATGAATTTTTACATGTGTATGCATCCAGCTAACCATTACCTAGATCAAGATATTACATCCACTTATTTTTGTGTGTGCATGGTAAAAAAACACACACAGACCACATAACAGACCACATAACTTTCCATCTCAACCAATTTTAAGGGTATAGTTCAGTAACAGTAAGTATATTCATGCTGTGAATAAGATCTCTAGAACTTTTTAATCTAGCACAACTGAAATTAAACATATGAAGTGTGTTACAAATTTGCATGCCATCCTTTGTATAGGGACCACACTAATGTCTGTATCATTCTAATTCTAGTATATGTGTTGCCTGAGTGAGCATAGGTATCTTTATATTACCCTTTATCTCTCATTTTTTCAATGACTACTGTATGAAAGTCTGATTCTCCAGTTTGCATTTTAGACAGTGGAGTCTATGGATATATTCTCCGAGTCATAGGCATTTAAAACTGTGTTCTCTCATTTTTATGGCGATATAAACAAATTAACAAAAGTGTTTCTGGATCATCTATATGGTCACCTTGTAAAGGAGTACTGCTACAAGATTTCACTGTCTGTATTTATATTTGTGTTTATGATTGTATTGACAAGTTGTACTATTTTAAATGTTGTGGACAAATTAGAAAATAACTGTAATGAATTTAATGCATTAATGTCAAGTGAAGGCCAAATAACCTTCACTGAATGAACATTTCACAGTAGTAGAAACAGACACTAGTATAGGTGAATTAAATCATCATGAAGCAAAGTGTAATTTAGGTATGCCCAATTCAATAGAATCATCTTACCATCCTCATGCTAAAAGTGACCATTTTGTACCTGCAAAATATCACTTTAATCAGATTAGTGTTCATTTCAAGTGTATGTTTAAGTTTTATTTATATTTAACTGGTAAATTTTTTTTGGTTTTATGTTGTATATGGGTTGAGAGCTTCAAGTGTTTAGATAATAGGATAATTTAAGTCCAAATGGGAAGTACTGGTCTGTCTACAAACTATTACTCCATTTTGTAAACCTTGACCAGAGAGACATTAATAAGACGAAAGAGTGATTTAAAACAGAAGACATTTATTTCGCCTAATTTTTTTTTTTTCTTTATTGGTTTTAGAGAGCGAAGGAGAGAGAGAAACATCTTTGAGAGAGAACATCAATTGGCTGCCTCCTGCATGCCCCCCACTGGGAATGTGGCCCACAACCTGGGCATGTGCCCTGACTGGGAATCAAACCAGTGACCTCTTGGTGCTTGGGTCAGTGCTCAACCACACTGAGTCACACTGGCAGGGCGACCTAAATTTTTTAAACAAATAGTTCACATCTGAATGTAACACCATAACAAACTGCTATTATTTCTACTCCTCTCATTAAGTTTGTGCTTTCTGTATTCTTTTACTTCTCCTGAAGGATGAAGATCTACAAGAGATGGAAGATTTAGCCCTAAAAATGGAGACTCAGTTTGGCCAGTTTTTTGATCATGTGATTGTGAATGACAGCTTACAAGATGCATATGCCCAGTTGTTGTCTGCAGTTCAGAAGGCTCAGGAGGAGCCTCAGTGGGTACCAGCAACATGGGTTTCCTCTGATACTGAGTCTTAATGGCTTCTGCTTAATGTTGGAGTTTTAACAGTGTTCATGTTTCAGAGCTCTGGAGTAACAGCTGCAATCTAAAACAGCCATATTTGCCCTATTATAATGTGTGCAACTTTGAAAGTCCTGTAGTTTATTAACTAATCTTACTTGAAAAAAAAGTTTGCATTAAATGGTTATGCAGAGTTACCTGTTTGGCTATTAGAAGAAATTGTTTGCCTTTACTTTATATACAGCAATTAATAGGAATGTGAACAAAGTTGAGTCACTGAGTACAAGAACCTTTCATAGATTTCATATGCTCTTTGTACAATTCAGATAAAAAGATCTTTCCTAAATAAAATGGTGTTTAATTTCAGGAACTATACTTTACCTTATGAAACTTGTTTTATGAAAACAAGTTTTATGGATTTTATAAAAAGTGCCTACTGGACTAACTTCAGCAAGAAAGATAGGTTATATACACATTTCACATCTAACATCAAAACCTACAGAGACCACATTGCCCTCATCATTTTACAAATCAGACTACAAGGAAAAGTTATTCTAATCAGAGCTATAACAATCATTAAGTTTTCTAAAAGCCAATATCTACATTTATGCCTAAATTAGGACAGGGCAATGAATTTTAGTCCTAGAAACCAATCTGAGAAAACCACAAATTGAGGATGCTATTCCAAGAAGTCTTGTTTTCTTTTCTTCTCTAGGTCTAAAACTCCCAGTCGCTCCTCCTGCCCCTGTATCTTCTGCATCATTCCTTCCCCACATTTAACCACCCCCACTCTTTCTTAACTATAAAACAGAGTGTGTGCTTCAAAATATTCATAGGTTTTTGTTTTTTTTAATTTAAAGCGAATATTGCCCAATAGAACAAAATGAAAATTAGGTCATTCTTAATGATATTTCTGTGAGCCGGGGTTTCATGCTATGTTGTGCTTCTTTGAGAAAAAGGTTTCCCAAACTTGGTTTATACAGTTGTGGGATGGAGGGTAAGCAACTGGAGAAAATTTGACAATTGCCTCTATCAACACTCCTGTGCACACACAGGAGAAAATTTGACAGTTGCTTGTATCAACACACCCATGCACACACATACACACTGGAGAAAATTTGACACTGCCGGTACACACACACATACACACACTGGAGAAAATTTGACATTGCCTGTACATACACACACACACTGAAGAACATCTGACATTGTACACACACACACACCGGAGAAATTTGACATTGTCTGTACACACACACACGAGAAATTTGACATTGTACACACACACAGGAGAAATTTGACATTGTACACACACACACGAGAAATTTGACATTGTATACACACACACAGGAGAAATTTGACATTGTACACACACACACAGGAGAAATTTGACACTGTACACACACACAGGAGAAATTTGACATTGTACACACACACGAGAAATTTGACATTGTACACACACACACAGACACACACACACTGGAGAAAATCTGACATTGTACACACACACACACGAGAAAAATTGGCATTGTACACACACACACACAAGAAATTTGACATTGTACACACGCACACAGGAGAAATTTGACATTGTACACACGCACACCCGTCCCCATTCGAACGGAAGCTAGGGCCCGGTGGCTGAAAGCGTCATCCCTGACCGAAGCCTAGACACCGAGCGGAGCGGAGGCGGGCGCTGGAGACCCGGCCCCGCGGCGGCGGCCTCGTCTGGAGCCGCGAAGCCCCCGCCTCCCGCCGGTCCGGGAGGCCGCGGCGTCGCGGGGAACCAGGCTCGGGCCCGCGGCCGTTGCGCCCGAGGCAGCCGTCGGGGACGGCAGCATGAGGGCCGACCCGGGGCTTCGGTCGGAGGACCACCCGGTGAGCGGTGAGGGGCGCGGGGCGGTCAGCCACAAGTGGCGGGGGAGGAGGTGCTGCCCTAACGCTGCAGCCACCCTGGGGCCTGGCCGGCGCCGGGATCGGAACGGGGAGCCGGCGGGTGGCAGCGCGTCGACCCGTCGGCGCCACAGGATCGGATTGGGGCGGGGGTGGAAGTTCTTCCCTACACCGGGACCCGAGCTCTCCGAGCCGGGCGGGAAGTTTCCGGGGCCTGAGTGGGCACGTTGCCATGACGACGCCCACTCCAAGGTACCCCGGCCCCGGCGGGTTCTGGGCGGCCAGCGAGGCCCCTCCTGCTGACTCCTGCCCGGGGGTGTTTAAGCCGCCCGGGACAGAGATCGCTTTTTTCCTGTGGAGACTGTTAATCGCGGTCTTCTCTCATGTTTCTCGAACATGTCACTTGGGAAACCATGGGGAAAACCATGATTTCGACCTCTCGCCCGCCGGAGTCTCTCCTCCGGGACACGTCCGCCTGGAAGACCCGCGTTCCGCTCGCTCCCACCGCGCGGGAGCAGGCTGCGGGCCGAGGGCCTGGGGGCCGAGGGCCTGGGCGACGCGGCCCGTGACGCACTGCGCCTGCGCGCGCGGCCGGCGGGGCGGGAGTGAGCGCCGCCTGGGAGCCGGCGGCCGCTGGCCGCTGGGAAAGGATGGGCAGGAAGCAGGTGGTAAGCTAGCCTGAGTTACTTTCGAGTTTTTTGGGTTTTGGATTCAGTGGAACCGTCCTACTCTTGACGGCTTAAAGATTGGATTTTGGGGTGGGTGACGTCATTTCCCAGGAGTTTTGAAATGTGGAGCTGTGTGAACTGAGCCTTGGCTAGAACGCTGTTCACAGCATCTTTACAGCAAAAGCTCTTTCATGTGCTTGTCGTACTTTTCCTATTGTAATTTTGAGTACTGGATGGTGCCAAGACAGCCTGCCTTGCCTTCGTCTTGTAGCATTTATATTAATTCATAGTTTAAACGTATGGGTTGCTGAATGAACAGCTGCCGCAGAACAAACTGTAAAAGTCTCAATTTCAGCCCGTTTGAATCAATGTTCTCTGCAAGCAGCATGAGATACTTGGAACATTAGACTGATGTCTAGGCACTTCTGCTAGTTATTTTATTTGGAGAGAGTCCAGAGAGCTTCTTAATGATAATCTCTCTTAACTGCAAATACAACTCTTCTTATTCATGTAAAGCAGTATTTATAAGGGTTCCCCCGCCATTCTTTCTATCCTAAAGTGCATTCTTCATCTTGTATTTGGAGTGAGCTTTTTAAAAAATACGCGGCTCTGTGGCTTAAAACCTCCTTTGGCTTCCTATTGAATTGAAACAGAATCTAGATTCTTTCCCTCCATCTTCAGGACCCTAATTAATCTGGTCCCAGACTACCTCTCCTTGGTAACTGTTGTAGCCTTACTGGCCTTTTACACTCCAAGCCCAATCTTCCCGAAAGGCTTTTGTATTTGCTTCTCTTTGTAAAAAATCTAGGCTTTCTTACTCAGTTCTCAGCTCAGATATCTGAGACTTTCCCTAACTAAAGTAGCAGCCCTCATCCTCCCTCATTTATATATATCAACGTTATCTGCTAATACTTAACCACTAGAATATAAAGTTCCATGAAAGCAGGATTTCTCTGTTTTGTTCATTAATGTAGTCTTGGTGCTTAGAACAGGCCCTGACCTATAGATAAAAAGGAATGTAGAAAGGAAGGGATTTTATATGAAATTTAGAAGAGGTAGACGAAATCTAAATATTGCCCATTTGGTTCTCATCAGTACTTCCTGGCTTTCGCTGATGAAGAGTAATCAAAAGATTTGAAATATATGAAGTAAATATGCTCTAGGCTCTTAATTACAAGTAACTTTCTTCTTTTCCCCATAGCGTCCTCCACGAGCCCTTCCACCTGTGCCAAGGTAAAAGTAGTTTACAGTAATTTTATTATTGAATTTTTAAAATGCAGAATGAATCAAGTGAAAAATTGACTACCAATGCAAAACTATAGTAATTCAGAAAAGAATTCTTAACATTTTTAGGAAAAGACTTCTTCACAGTATAAAGGTGAAAAATCCCTGAATCATTAGGATAACAGTAATAATGAAATGTTCTGTTTCAAAGCCTGAATGTCAACATGGTAGGATAATGGATCCATTCTGAATTTTTCAGTTTCTTGTTATCAGAATTCGGACCTTCTTTTGTTTGCCAGAATAATTTCCTCAGAGTTTAAGCTGATCTTAATCTGTTTAATCCACTCTATTAATAGATAGTAGGGAATATGTATGTGTAGATTCAGAAAATATTGGGGTTATTTGATTAGTGGTTTTATTAAATAGCTTATTATTTATAAATAAGCTAGTTTGTAAACTAGCAGAATGTGTGTGGAAACTAATTTTTTAAAAAATTTGTAATGACTTAAGTCAGTTTTCAGTCTGACAATATAATATATTTCTAATAGAGTTTCTTTTTTTGTCTTTGTCCTGATTAAATTTGGTCGGTGTCATGTAAAGTGCTATTCAAGGTGAGTTAGTTCACTGTTAATGTAAACTTTCTAAATATAGTATTTGAAATTCAAAAGTTTAATTTGTTAATATTTCTCTTAAAATTGAATCTGAATGGTATAATTTATAATACTACAATATCCTTTTTATCAAAATAATCTGTGGCTGCCGTCTTTAAATGATGGCTGATAAATAACACTAGTTATATGGTTGATATTTGATCTTACAAACATAAACACATTCATTCCTGAATGGAGTCACCCAGATGATAACTTTTGGCTAGTTTATAGTCCTGTATTAGAGACTGCATCTTCCTTTATCTCATTTAGTTAGGATAAACTGGGATATGCTACAGTAACCCCCAAATCTTAGTGACTGAATATCATATAGGGTTATTTCTGGTTAATGCAAAGTCCAGTGTAGTAACAAATCAGGGCATTTGCCTTTCACTGCCGCTTCACTAATGATGTAGTGATTCAGTTGACTTCCATCCTGTGGTTTTACCATCTTAACATGAGGTCTCCTCAGTTACCACAGCATGGGAAGAGAATGCTGGAGGGTTTCTCACTGGCTCCTTCAATGTTCGGGTCTCCAAATGACAGATCACTTCTCTCACAGCCTATTGGCCAGAACCAATCATAGGACACACCTAAGTGCTAGGGAGCTGGGAAATGTTGGGGATCAGATGAGCTCACTTTCTGTGTCACAGTTTCTAACATCACTGACCAGCAGTGAGCTCTTGGTACCACATTATGGGCTCTCTTTGACTTTGTCAATTTCTTGCCTTCTTCCCCTAATGTGTAGATAGATGTTGGTTGGACCCAGAGAAGAGAGAGAAAGATCTCTATTAAAAGTTCCATTTTGACTGTTCCCTGCATAGAATTTTAGGCAGCCTTTTCTTTTCTTTTTGTTTTATAGATGATATTCCACTTAGTCGTCCTAAGAAAAAGAAGCCAAGAACAAAAACCATGCTAGGTGAGAAGTTGTTCT